GCTTTTCCGATAACATACATGTTCTGAATAAAGAAAATCAACAAAAATCTTTCACTATTTACTTGCTCTTTTCACTCTCCATTAAACACACACACACACACACCCACATACACAATAATCTTTTAAGCAAGACTGCCAGCTGAGGAATTATAGTCTTCTTTTTTTTTATTTTTACAATGGGATGTGCACAAGTACATCCTGATCCATGAGCAAACAGGCACCTTACTGGCACCTTCGTGACATAACTGATTGTGACAAAGCCAAACCTGTTAACAGCCATTGTCCTACCACTCCTTTGACAATTGCATTCCCTAAATGCTGTTGACAAACGTTTGTTTTTTGGCTTATGTTTCAGTCGTAGTGCTATTAAGGACATTTTCTATCATCTTGATTTGATCCATGTACGACTTAAATGATGACGTGTTAACGTGGTCTGCAGTGATTCATTACTGTCTCCACATCTCTGATGCACATTATATTGCATCAGATATAGTGAGCTACATGCTTCAAGTACTATTTTTATACTTTAATTAATTGTTTTTATATAGAGGGAACATGCTTTTGGACTTTTGGCTAATGAAACGTCCTACTTTCCAGTGAATGAATTCTTCAAAGGGCATTTTATTATGTAAGTGTGTCCATTTTCTAAGGAAATGTAATAAGTTACATCCTGATGTGCACTGGCTGGAAAATCAGTGGCGCTGATGTGAGTAGATAATATACTTTCTAATTAAATGAGTTACTGTGTGAGAGTACACTCACACACACAACAAAGGGGTGTCACAAAATGAAATATTCAGTTTCACTATAGAGCTACGCCGAAATATGAACACCAGGCTAGTGAAGAGTTGCCTCTGGATCCTTTGTGTTTCATACATACCATTCTTCAAAACAATTCATGCCAACAATTAAATAACTGGATAGACAGGCCAGGGGGCACAGAAGGCATGTGAACAGCAGAGAGGAAAAAAGTATGTGTGTGTGTGGCAGCAATAGAGGGCGTCTGGGTTGAGTTCATGACCTCTGTGTGTTTCTATGTAGCTGATTTGATCTGTAGTCACATCTGAGGACCAACAATTTACCAACGGCTTTTAAACCTGTTGATCTTGTTGGGTATAGTTGTCTTATTGCAAACAATGTGTTGTTAGTTTGTTGCCACTGCAGATTCAGTGTGAGCTAAAATTAATTTTATATTCACTGAGGACAAGGTACTGTTAGAGTAAACCTCTAGGCAATGAAATCTCCTCAAATGTAACAAACAAATCAGTGTGTGTGCGTGTCACTGTGTGTGTGTGTGTGTGTGTGTGTGTGTGTGTGTGTGTGTGTGTGTGTGTGTGTGTGTGTGTGTGTGTGTGTCCAGAGAAGCGCATGTTATCAGAGTACTCAAGGTGGTTTGTTCAAACAGCTCCCAGCACAAAGAAACAAAAAACACTGAAACCCATCCTCCAACACAAAAATATCCTCAAATTTACCCAGGAAGCCCTCAAATATTATGCCCCTCCCCTGCTCCAGGAAAAAAAAAAAACCACAATGACGTAAAAACATGTCATGTCAAAGAGACTTTTAATAGGAAAATGAAACCTAAGTTCAGTGAATCATGTAAAACCATATTCATCTTGTAATTAGCTTGATGATTCATTAACAAAATGATATGAAATTGAATTAAGCAACTGATGTGCATCAATGAATTTGATCATTAGTCTGTTGTAAAGACAATTATCAAAAACATCCTTAGGATCTTTTTTAAAAAAATACAATGAAACAGTGGTGGAAAATAACAAAGTTAAGTTTACTTAAGGACAATTTTGACTTATTTTATTTGAGTATCTCCATTTGATGCTACTTTATAGTTGTACTAAACTTGTCTGACACTTTTACTCAGTAGTCACTTTTTACATAAGAAATACCATATAATATGTACGACTATACTACTAATCTACCTAGTAGTATACAAAGTATCTCAGATTGGCTCTGAACTACAGCATTAAAATGCTCTTACTTGTATTCGTTAGTGATAAAAACAGAATAATATAATATTCTATAATAACACTTTGAAAGGGGCCATTCTGCATAATGAGTAATTTTACTTTTAATACTTAAATACCTTTTGTTGGTAACACTTCTGTGCTTTTACTTAAGTATTTGTAATGTAGTATCAAGTAAAAGATCTGACTACTTCTTCCACCACTGCACTATAAATAATATTTATATTTTTTTCAACAATAAAAACAAAAAACTTTTTGAAATTAATTTCATTGAATGCCACAATAAATAAGTATACGAGCAGAGGTCAAGGGTTCACGCACATGCAGCTCCTGTGTTGGACAATAGGCCACTGGGTGGTTGTCCGATGGATGGTGTCACCAGTGAGATCTACTGATAGGGTCAAATGGCACCCCCTGAAACAAATGTTATCTGAAAGAGTGCACACTGTATACACAAGGGCAATTTCTTGAAGCAGTAAAAGAGGGGAATGACGAACATTGTTATAATAATGCTTGTGTGTTTGTGTGTGTCTGCATGCTGTATGTGTGTGTGCAGATGTAGAATGGTAATTAACGAGTGTGTGGAAGTGGTGGTGGTGGTCGGGGGGGGAAATAGCAGTGAAGACAGTAGAAATGACTGCAGAGATAAAGACGTGTGGGTTCAGTATAAATATCTGAGAGCACAGGGCGAGGGAGAGGATCAGTTCAAGAGTGGCGCTGAGGAGGAGGCACAGAGAGGGTGAATGAAAGCAAGAGGAACAGAAAGAGAAGAGCTGAAAGAAATTACAGCAAGGGACGGATTTTATACTACACAGTGGAAATAGGTAAAACTCTGGCATTTACCTCATTTCGTTACTATGTTTTGTGTATATTTTTTTTTAACCTGTGCACCTTTTTTTTCAGAAATGGCCAACACAGCAGGAGGAGTGTTTTTAGCTGTTTTGTTGTTCCTGAGTGCCAGTGTACCATGTTTCTCTGTGTATAACAGTGGCGAGTGCTTCTTCAACACTAAAGGTACAGTTTGTGTGTGTGTGTGTGTGTGTTTGTGTGTGTGTGTGTGTGTGTGTGTGTGTGTGTGTGTGTGTGTGTGTGTGTGTGTGTGTGTCTGTGTGTGTCTGTGTGTGTGTGATATAATGTAATTATGAAATAATTAATATACATGACATTACAAAATACAGTAATAAAATTTGAATATTTCCCATAGGCCTTTATGTGTATCTGCTCAGTTGTAGAAAGGAATTAAATACATTTTAAAGCATCCTCACTATGTTTCAGAGGGAATTATTATTATTAAATAACTTTTCACCTCACTACATTTATTGTACAGTTATACTGAATACTTTGCAAATTCCGATTTTCATCCAAAACATACGATCAGTTTACGAAATTTGATGCACCCTTATATCATAAACAGAATACCTAGTATATAAAGCAATCAAACAGCTTTAACCAGACCTGCTGCAACATTTACATGTAAATTCCACTGCTGTATTTTTCACAATAAGTCATATTGTAATTTTCAGGGAGCTGTGACTACATGGGACAAATGTACGGGATAGGAGAGAGCTGGATAACCAGTGACTGTTACCAGTGTGTCTGCATGGAGCCTTTTGGAGTAGGATGCTGTGACCAGTGAGTTTGGTTTAAATTCACCTAACCTCAAAAAGTATTTAGACTCATATGCAGCATATATATGTTCTAACTCTAATCTCCCCTACAGTGGATCTAAACCTGTGGACTATCCAGACTGGTGTGAGATCATCCGTAAGCCTGACTCTTGTACTAGTGTTGCAGTGATGAGAGTCAATCGTAAACTACCTTGTCTCTGGGGACGAGGCCGTCTCAGACCAGCTGCAGGACAACCGTGGAAATCAGACAATGATCCTATATTTTGAGTTCAGCAATTAATAAGAAAATATAGCAATATAACAATGTGTGATGTTTATTTTGGGTTTATTTTATTGTTAGTGAGAGACTAAGCTAGATTGAATTTTATAACAAATCTGCAAATAACTACCACAGGAATTATCTGTTTGTTCTGTTTATATGTATAATTTCACATTTAAGATTGTGTTGTTGATGTTTGTTGTTGATGAGTCTGTCTGAATGTCTGGATTGTTTCTGGTTCATGTTTTAAGATTAAATAAAACTGTAATGTATGTTTAATTTCTGGTTTTGTCAAATGTGTTATCTTTACTATTATTCACTTGTGCTATTACTCGGTGGCTCCAATTGAGTAATAACATATAATATTGGTAATTTGCCTTATAACAGAATTCAGATTGTGCTACTCTAAACATATGACTGCTCCGCTAAAATCTACAAACATATAGAAGACTTCATGTCACTCTACGTGGAATTCAGAGCATCAAAACCAGAAATATATTCATAAAATAAAAACGATTTGACAGTTTCTTGGCCCCATGAGGGAGGATGTGTATTATTATACTGAATTATCACATATTTATACGTATAAATATATATAATATAAAGTATTTTTATTCTTAAGTATCTAGAATTGCATTGGAGTAATTCTGTTACATTAAAACATACTCAAGTACCAAAAGTAAATGTAGCCTATATTATATCATTGGATTGGAAATTATAATTGATGCATTAATAGTTGTCAAAGGTCTTATCTCAACTAAAAATATTGCATTATAATTGCTTTGCTGATTGTATTTTGTGTTATTAAAGTATTTTAAATTAGCATAAAGTGGAAATACTCAAGTAAAGTAGCCTACAAATCCCTCAAAATTGTTCCTAAGTAGTCTCCTGTACAAGAGTAAATGTACTTAGTTACTTTCCACTGGTGGATAAAATGTGTTTATAGAGTAGAGTAGAGTGATATGGATACCATGACAACGCCTATTACCATTCCCTTTTTCAGAAACGTACAATGTAACATAAATAACACTGGTGAATCCTAACAGATGATCACTAACCCTTCGTGAATTTGCGACTTTTATTTTGAAAATTGTGAGCCGCGCGTCGCAGCGTTTATACGTCAGACAGTGGCGCGCTGCTAGTGTCCACCGTGTTGTAGTTCCTGGCAGTGCACTGGTCCTGCTAAAATGTGGCCTTTCTCTTGAGCCTCTGGTGTTTCTGAGTTCACGAAAAAGCAACACAAAGCATTAAAATGTGGATACTGACGCCGCTGCAGCCTGGAGGTAACTCTATCTGTCGCTGTTGACACTTTAACACACAGCTAGTTTACAGCCTTCATCACGTTAGCTGTGTTACTGAGTGCAGACCTTATGATTATAAACCACTAACGCTACAGACAGGAAGTGAGCTGTTTGGTCTTAGACAGAGTGGAAAGTGGAGTGTGACATTAGATGTTTGTGGGTGGAAGAAAGCTGCCTGAATGTGAGGAACTTTGGTCATGTGATGATAAGTTGGTGTAACACAGATTTCATTAATACTTGTGCAGTTTAATGTTGCCTGAAGATGCCTTTGGATGGTGGTTTGTGGCAGAACAACAACAGTGGAATAATATGTAATCAGTTACTTTTACATCTAGCAGTTGAACATTTAACATTTTACTCTGAAACATGCAGTGGAGGACATAATTACAACAGGTATCAAATCTGTCATAATCAGTGTTTTAATGTTGGCTCGGTATGAACTCGGGCTGCACAATTCATCAAGATAGTATCAACATTGCCTTATGGCCAAGTTGCAGAAGCCGGTAAAATGTGTAACAAAACAGCATTTTGATGTTGTACTGTAGTGCTGCAGAGACGTCCTGGCCTGCAAATCTTGAAGAGTTTGTCACATAATCATGATTTTAATTAAAGTTGTGATGCAAAAATGATAATCCCCCTTTTTTTTTTTTTATACCATATCATGCACCCGTAGTATCAACCTGCAGAATTACATGCAGACAGAAATGAATCTGCAACTTTTATAGTAACTTATGGACATAAATTATCTGGTTCCAGCTTCTCCAATTTGAGGATTTGATGATTTTTCTCGTCTCCTAGAATTGTAACAGTTGAAGACCGACAAATGGTGATATGTATGTATTTGACAGAAGAAAATAAAGATGAAAAAGATGAACCTATTAATTGCAAAAATAAATAATTGTCAGTTGCAACCCTACTGATGTTAGAATCTGACATTTTACTATTATCTTGTATAATAAATCCTTAACCATCAATAATTCTTTGTGTTCCTCTCATTCCCCAAAAGATGATACACTGATTGGATCATATTTTACTCTACTACAAGTTAATGTCTCCAACCCCTAGTTTAAAATAAATGTTATATGGACCCATTAAATGTTAGGGTCAGTAGATTGTCACATCATTGATTCCAAGCACTGTGTCAATACATTGTCATATATATTCAGTCAATATCGGCTAACTTTAGTGCAGTGAAAGAGGATTAACACACATAAAGTCACATGCACTTAACTTAAGATTCTTTTTCAACTTCATGAGGGTAAATAAGTTTATAAAATGACACTTTGGTTGACTGTTTGTGATTTTACATCAGAAGGTTCATAACTTGACTCCTGTCACTCACAGGTGAGACCCACTATCTCCTCTCCAGTAAAGAGTACGTAGTGGGGCGCAAGAACTGTGACATCATCCTGCCCAACGACCAGTCCATCAGCAGGGCTCATGCTCACCTCACTGCTGCCGACCAGGTGAGAGGAAGACGGGAAATGAGGGGAAGAGTTATCATACAATATTTAGTTCATTATTAAATGGACTGAATGTGTTGAACAGAATTGGCTTAAAAAACTCACTGAGCCCGTCATATGTACAGTGTCTTCAGTGTTATCCCAAAGATATTGGACAGTTGGATATGTATAAATATATATCACTGTCACTGGAATTTAAAAGACAGTACATTAATATTCAAATGAAAAGTCATTCAGCTTGACGAGAAAAGAAAGAGCTGTGGAAGTGTTTGCAAAAAAGTTCACAAGTTTTTTCAAATAAAGGTGTTCAGTTTACCGTCATTAACAGAGGATGTCTGTTAATATTTCACTTCTCTATAGTTGGTAATATGTTCCAAACACTCGTTATCATATCAATAACACATCCTGGAAGCTGATGTGTATTCAAAAGTGGCACAGTTAATGTCTTGTGGCAGGGGCAGTCAGTGTTCACTTGGCAAAGGCAGAAAACTTTCCACTCTGTATTAAGTATAGTTTGTGATGCAGATAGTTTCACAAGAAGGAGGCAGAGTACCATGATTTTTTTCACAGATTGTCTCTCTGACATACTACTGTCAGGATACAATAAAAGTTTCAGCAAATATGACAAAACTTTATTTTTTATAAAAGTTACCGACTTTAAGGTCTGTGTGGAAAAGCACCCGACTAAAGACAGACAAACCTAACAAACCTTACAGCACCAAGAAGACTACAAAGCACTCACTCAACAAGCCGACCATCCATCATCATTGTTCTGTATTAAAACAAACCCAACGTCACAAACAGTTACTTCAGCTTGGAAGTAATTTAAAATGATCACATCCTGCTTTTTAATAGGATCACATCCTTATGATTTAGTTTTAGTTTGTACCATATTTGTTTAAATTTTGCAGGATTTCCAAGATATTAATTTGACCATATCACCCAATATTTTTAATAATATAGATGAAGTAATGTGATTTAATTTGGAGAATATTTACCTGTGTGATAGCACTTCTGCACAAAAGGTGGTGCTATTGCACCTGTCCAGCGTAACTAAAACTGAATCTAAATTGTGGTCAGGCCCAAACATGATGCACATGATGAGTTATATAAAAAGGACTTCTCAGAGATCTGATTTGATTTATCCAGTAGTTAGTTAAACATGTTATTTACTGTGTCATGCACATCTAAGTATTCAGCCCACTTGTAATAATGTAAAAATAAAGAAATAAAGGACATTTTACTCAAAAATGTGTAATATATAATAAATAAAACATTAAGTCAATGTCACCAACATCCTATCACAAACATATCAGAGTTTTAAGGGAATTTCTTATTATTTAGTTAATTTAAAACCATGCAACTTTTGTTGAGTATTAACGCGAGCAAAATAGTGTTATTAATGCTGGGTGATGAACCGGTATACTGGTTTAAATTTCCTGTATGATATGAATGTTTTGCTCAGATTTTTAGTTCTGGCTCCTGTCACCTGTTGTAGCATGTAGACAATATAATGTATGTAGACCTGTTATCTCAATTTGTTCTTACATTAATTGATTTCCTGTGTCTAGGATACATTTCCTTCCTAGGTTTAATTGAGAAGATGGGTTTCTCATTGAGACATGAATAATTGAACAGAAAGCTGTAAGATGGTTTGTTTGAATCGTGGACAGTTTCATGACTTGCTCTTATGGTTTTTATTCCTAGACTCTGACTCTGAAAGACACCTCCAAGTATGGTACATTTGTCAACAGCCAGCGCTTGACAGATAACTCACCTGTGAACCTGAAGTCAGGTGACAACGTTACATTTGGGGTTTTTGACAGCAAATTCAGGTAAGTAACTGAAACAAGACCTGATTAGTTATGTTTAATATCACAGTTAATATGAATTTCATTCTTCCTAAACCTCTTTCATTATGAATCTCTTTCATTGTCCCTGCTTCATCTCAGTGTGGACCATCAGAAGCCAGTGGTGTGTTCATCATGTTTGGACAACGATGGCAAGACATTGCTTTCTCAGGCCCTGCTGTCTGTTGGTGGAAAGCTGGTCAACACCTGGACTAAGGAGTGCACTCACCTGGTGATGCCCTCTGCTAAAGTCACCATCAAGGTCAGCACCAGACTTTGTACCCTCATTTGCACATGTGTTGTGTTTGTCCCTGAATATGTGTTGATGTGCCTCCTGTTTTCCTAATTAGACTATTTGTGCTCTGCTGTGCTGCCGTCCCATCGTGAAGCCAGAGTTCTTCTCAGAGCTCAGCAAAGCCGCCCAGCGGAAATCACCCCCTCCCAAAGCTGAGAGGTACAACACAATCCATCCTTATGTACACGCATTTGCCCTGAGGATGAGCTGAACATTACTGAACCAAACATTATCTCATCTGTGCTGCTCACTGTTGTTTTAGTTTCATCCCTGAAATCGATGAGCCCAGCTTGAGTAAAGAGGATGTTAACCTTGGAGCAATTCCAGTTCGCAAACAGCTTTTCACTGGAAAGACTTTCATTTTCCTCAATGCCAAACAGGTATGTCTACTTTTTTAATTGTGATACCCTAATATTGTTTTCATGCTTTGCAAACCGCCAGGTAACTAGTCAGAGTTAATAATCAGCTGATCAGTTATCATTGCTCTGTAGTAATCATCAGTCAGTGATAACAAAACACGAGAGTTAAAGAAATTAGCACTTGTTATCGGCTATATAATAGCCCTGCTTGTTTTTCAGTAGCCTAAAAAAATGATAGGAGGTCACATGATCTTATGAGCGTCATGTTTATCAGCTGTTGCCAGGCAGTCGGGAGCCTGAAAATCCTCTGGGAGACTCACTGCTCACTGCCTGTGTTTTACCCGAGCTGCAACTGATGATAATTTTCACCAGACATTAGATTTCTAATGTAATTTACAATTAACAGAGCCCAAAGTTTTATTGTAATATTTTTTTACATAGTGTCAAAAGCAAGCAAAAAAAGTATCAATTTAATATGAAGGAAATGTTTGCCCTTTTTTAAACTGTAATCAACAAATCTGTAATACGTTTTAATGTTAAGTAACTGATTCATTAATTGACTAATTAATTCAGCATTATACTGTGTCTTTTACTTCATGCTTGCTGCTGTAGGAACAATTTAAATATACATGGATCTGCAGAGAACATGTGCAAGTCATGAAACCTCATCAGGGGACAGAAAACTCAGCTGTACCGCCCTGCTTGGCCTTATTGACACAACAGTATCAAGTGAAGTCGGTTGTCTTATGGATGTTTTTTAAACATCCCTTATGTAAGATGACATTTGTCCATATTGACATTACCAACTTAAAGTGGATATTTTCTGCTACATATTCTGACAAAAAAAAGCCCTAAAATAAAGTAAAACCCTTTAGAGAGAAGCCTCTACGAAGCCAGCTGAAATGTAGTTGATTATTATCACATTATGAACAAGTGTTTCCCAAGCTTGAAGTTGCATGTGTACATGAGTACAACAGCATTATATGATATCTCCTGCTTTTACAGTATCTACAATATTTATGCATCACTCCACTCCTTCAATCAGGCTTCCATTGGGCCTTCAGCTTCAACTGGCTGTACAGATCATGGTTGTGTAATTGCTGCGCCTCTATGTTTGTTTGCAGCTGAAGCGCCTGAGTGCAGCGGTGAGTTTTGGAGGTGGCCGGAGTCAGCTGCTGGAGGAGGGCTCTCTGCCTCGGGACCTGCTGGAGTCTCTACAGAGCTGTGTGGTAGATGCTACAACAGGCAGCTCCCAAGCTTTGCTCTCTTCCTCCACCGTAGAGTGGGCAAACTCTGTGAAGGACATTGTTCAAAGGTTTACACAAAACTCCAGTTTTTCTTTCTGTAGAAAGAACTGTGTTTTGGCAATTTACTTGTCAAGGCGACAATTTTTTAACACTTTATAATGTTCTCTCTGGCATTTCTCCTTTACAGAAAAGGCCTCAGACTCATCACAGAGTCTGAAATTGGTTTGGCTGCTATCTATGCTTCATGTGACCAGAACTGCAATCCATCTAGTTTAATACCAACCTCAGGTGGGTGACCACACAGAGAAACACTGATTGCTTGTTTTCGGTTAGTTTTTACTTCTATATAATCTTTCTCTTTCTGTTATATTTTTATTTGATTTCTTTTTATCCGTGTTTACGGTTTAGAGTCTGAACCAAAAGTGAATCCCAGAATTCCAAGTGCTTCGATGTCAGAGAGCGTGGCGGTGGATGAGACTGTGTTACCTGCTGCATCTCAGAACATCACAGCATATGCAGTTAACACAGAGCCATCACAAGGGTAAGGACACACACTCAAAGACACGTGTCCAATATGTGTTAAAGTTGTCCAAACTCTAGAAAACATGTCTGATGTTTGTTCGTTTATCAGGTCAGAGTTGAGCAAAGTTACAGGGATGACGGCAGTGGGGGAGACTCCTGAGAAGAAGCAAACCAGTCAGCTCCGTGGATCCAAACCCGAAGCTCAGAAGACGGCCACTCAGTGCTTCGTGGCTGATACAATGAGGTCATCATTCAACACTGTAGAGAACACAGACTCACAGAGGAGGAAGCCCGAGTCCAAAATGACAGGTAGCTGCATGAATGAATAAGGGATCCGGGTTTTTCTCCTGATACAACCAGTGCTGTTCTGTATAACATAACATAGAGCTTTGCTGTACCTACACATAATTTCTTAATTGTAATTATTCATAATTAGATCACTTTGTAACGATGAACAACTGGCAGAGTTTCTAGAGATCCTCCTTTATTATTCAACAATACTTTTTGGCTTTAGTCTTTTTAAGTAAATAGTTCCAGAGGGTTTGCTAGGTTGTGTCTGTAATGTGGATCTGTCCCATACCAATCCTTTAAATTTGGTATTAGTGCCCATACCAATCCGTTGTGTTGAATTGGTGCATTGGTTTTAACATGGCGTAGTGGTTACTGCAGTGAAGCACTCAGATTGTTATAGTTTGACAGTGTGGTAAATATGCTTTTGTTACCTTTGGACGGAGCCAGTATAGCTGTTTGCCCCTGTTTCCAGTCTTTACGCTAAGCTACGCTAACCCACTGCAGGCATAGAGGACAGTTACGATCTACCTCTCTATAATTAAGAGCACTTCTCAAAATGTCAAACTATCCCTTGAATTCACTCATGATAGGAGCATCAGCTCAGTGTCTGTCCGTCAATGTTTTTGTGGTTTCAGGTGCGGGCAGTAGTGGCATTTGGCCCCAGCCGTCCATTCTTAGGACCAATGGTGGCACGAAGACATTCCTGCAGAACCAGTCTCCCCAGAAACCAAAAAACTCTCCACAAGCTTCCCCACAGAAACAATCAACCCTGACCAGCTTCTTTCAACCAGCCAGCAGGAAAAGGTAATCGTTTGCTCTTTGGGCGGGTTAAAGGACCATATCAGTGTTTATTTGGGTTGGTAGTCATGCATTGTACAACTGATCTACACAATAACAATGTGACAATTTAAGCTCCCTGGGACGAGAGCTGAACAGGATGATGGATGGATGGGCAGATCATTTTCACTCATCATCTAACATTCAACTTTCAAGTCTCTCAAATTTGATGTACAATATCGTTTTTGTTATCTACGGAATAAGATGAAACTCTTAAGAGTACTCCACTGATTTAGCATTGTAACAAGGTCAGGCTCATAATGGACAGTTAAAACAAGATCAGATATCATCCTTTTTTTCTCTCCACACATTCTTCTTCCTTGTCAAAACCCAGCGCCTACATTACCAACGTGCCTGCAGACAGTTCAGTCAGAGACGTGTGTGTGTTATGCTATTAGCAGCTAATTTAGCTTCCAGCAGAGGTGTGGAGCAGCCTACAAAGGTCTCTTCACACCCCTGGATTTTTTTCATTTTCGAACTTGTAGTCTTCAGGTCCAACCAACGCTCAATCAGGGCAAAAAATAAATAAATAAGAGGCAGATACAAAAGGAGGCATTTGCAACAGAGCAGGATCATTTACAGAGGAACATAAGAATGGCATTTTCACTGTAATACAACAACCCATCTCACTTAGTTAAATGCCCAGGTACAGTGTAACACAAGTCCACCTTTGAATAAAAGTCTCCATTTTCAGTTGAAGATTTGTAGTCATGTAGTCCATTATGTAAACCCTTTTCACTCTCTGCACCCACTGAGTTATAGTTGGTGGTTTTGCATCCTCCAGTTCAGTTCTGAATTTTCTTGGCAATGAATAAAAGTATCTGCAGTATCTGATGGAACATTCTCTTCACACATGATGTTGTCAATTTCTTGTTTAACACTTCTCCAGAACCCCTGAATTATTGGGCAATCCTAAAAGATATGTGACATCAGGCTTCAGACAACTTTGGAACTCTGGAGTTTTCTTCAACATACTGGCACTGGCTGAAAGTCTGTTCTTACCTGTTTCTGTGTCTGTGTTCTGTCATCAAGGCCTTTGGAGGACGAGCTCTTCGCTGTTACGTCAGAACCAAAACGGCCCGTACTGGAATCCTCTGTCAGCATACAGGCACCAAAAACCTCAGTCACATCTAAAGAAACATTCTCACGTTCAGACGCAGTCCCTGCAGCAACATCCCGGACTCCACTGGGGTCAGCAGCTGATCTTTTCGTAGGACGGTCAGAGGCTCAGTTGGTCGGGGTCTCCCACGCTGTCCAGGAGGAGCTACGGAGTAGAAAGAGGAAGGAGATGGAAGCAGAGATACAGATGGATGAACTGGAGTCTATTATGTCTGAGGATATGGACTTTGATGAGCAACCCTCATATAATCAAGGCCAGCAAGAACAGCTACTAAAGCCCAGTTCAACCGAAAAGACACAGGGTGTAAATACTGTGGAGGCTTTATCTTCAAGCAAGAGGCTACGGGTCCACCTGGAAGAAAATGGAAAAGGGCCACAGGTGGGCCTGGAAAGAGATTCAGGTTCCCATAAGAGCCAGAAATCTGAACAGCATATCGTCTCTATCAAGACAGAGCAGGTCGATCCTTTTGAATACAGGACTTATCTTGAGTCCAGCAAACCTCCAAAAGCCTCATCTGCCAGTACGAGTACAAACATTGAGCCTTTTGAAGAGGACGAGGCATCCTTCGTTGAGGTGAGGACTTACTGTCAGTTGTCAGTGTTCATCCAGTAATTTAGAGAATAGAAAGTATAACTTGAACTGTCTCAGCACACACATTGGCTTTCACTTTTCCGTTTTATGGTGAATTTTGTTTCACACATTTTTCACCCTTTTTATTCTTGTAGGATTTAGAGCTACTCAACGTGGATATTTGTCAGCCTAAAGAAGAGCCAAAGACCCCCTTGAAACCTGTTACAGTCAAACAGGAAGTCCAAGTAAGTCCTGTAAAAAAGGCTCTTAATGTGAAGTTTTGTCTCTTTTCTCCCTTTTGAATTAGCTCCGTTTTGTGTCTCTACCTATATGCTCTGTTTTTCTAGATTTATTTATTTGATGGGTCAAAACATAATTTAGCAAGAATACTGGACTTCTGTGTATCAATAATTGATTTCTGTAAATTGACCCATTTTTTCATTCAAGAGATCCTTATCAAAGTATTAGATTATCACATTGTATTATTCAGGATTCACAGAGGTTACTGTACAACTGCCTCAAACATCATGTAATATGTAATAGTTGTTTAAACCACTTTAATTGTGTTTTCTTTGATATTCTACAATGTTAATCTAGGAGGAGTCAAAGACTGATGAAGACCTTCCTAAAAAGGTGGTGTTAGTGGAGTTTCGATCTCTCACCGTGTCTGCCCCTACCAAAACCAAACCACAGAAGATGCAGGATATCAGCTACGCAAAGAACTACAAAAGTTTCCGCAAGGTCAGACTACAATGCAACTTACACCACAGAACCGCAGTTAAACGCAGAAACTGTACTTAAATCGAAGCTTGCAACACATTCTGCAGTGTTTTATTCAGTTGCTTTTAGTTGTGTGTTCACCAACAGATGTGGTCTGAATATTTTGTCCTTTACTAATTATACACAACTTTTACAGCTCCCATTTTGAATGACAACAATGAGGAAAGAAAAAAATCCAATTTTAGGATGATTAAAATTAAAAAGCCTAGAATTAGGTTTTTTATGCCACCCATCAACGGTAGATGAGGGCATATTTTTTTCCTTTTTAAAATGACCTCTTTTCCACTCAAAGCACAGAAGTGAGTGATTATTTTTCAACTTTCAACGTCATGACAAAGCACAGAAGGAAATCTATTTTGACTTTTTTTATTCTTATAAATTTGCTTGTGTGTCTGACAGATTGGCGTGCCAGGTGCAGAGCGCTCACCCAACATCATTGGAGGGTCTGCTCTGCTGGTTCACAACAGGGGCAAGAACTGTGATCTGGATGAATGGCTGAAAGATGCAGCTGAGGTACTATTGTCTGTCTCTGTTATATGTTATATATATATATATATCTTATCTGACTGAGTCTTGCATACTTGATTTAAACCTGTGTTTGTTTCAGGAGGAGCGTCAGAACAGACGGGAAGAGACTGTAGGAGATGACCTCTTTAGGTGAGAAACTGGAACTCATTTTCTGTAAGACGTGTAGTGACCTTGTTACCCCCTTCACAGCTTCCTCAAAGCCCTTGTAAGGTCTCTAGTATGTGCATAGGTCTTACTGCTGCTTAAGCTACTGTGTCATTTGTTACCTGTATCCTAAAAAAGGCAGAACCCTTGGTATGACTTTCTTATACAGTATAGGTGAGAAAGTTATTTATAGAAATTAAATTAAAGTCCTGTTTTCACCTCCTACACCAACAATACAATATTCTCTAGCCAGTGAATAATAATTTTCTATTCAATTTAATATCTGAATCGAATTACAAAAGTTAAATATAAATATAAGTTAAATATAGTCAATAAATAGCATAAATTGTGCTCTTAGGTCATAACTTGTGTGCTATTCTATTCTATGAATTCTGATTTCTGTTGTGTAATGTAAAACGAAACAATACTGTGGATTAAACTGAGAAACTACAGTTAATGTTCATGTACATGCTGTTACTTTAGTAGTAACAGTATTGTGTTTAAAGTTTGGCCAGACAGATATAAATGTCCTCTTTTCTGTTGTGTTCATATTCAAGTTAACATAGCTTTAACTCTCTAACTTTAATGTTTTTTCTCCTGGACATTGAAATTTGAGCAGATAAAACCCATAATTTGAAATGTCTCTTGTACTAACCTTGCTAAGTCCTTCACTCAGTATAATTGCTAGTCAAGGTGGTAAAAATAAGGATCTGTCTGTACAGCCTCGACCATTATAATCAGGTGCAGTCAACATTATTAACTGAGAATTATAGATACAGGGCCACTGTAGATTCAGTTTAACCAATCAGAATGTAGTAATTCTTTCGTCACAGTGGTTGCCGGGGTAACAGAAGTGATGTAAGCTGCCGCCGCTGCCGTGTTTTCTTTGACTAAGCAGAAAAGAGACAGTCTGAGATTGATTTTGAGTGTGTGTGTGTGTGTCAAGGCTGAGCTGTTTGATCACTGAGTCATGCTCAGTCAGTCATGCGTAGCCGGGGAACAGACTCTGCTGCTAAGAAAACAATCCGGTATTTTTTTTGGTAGGTCTAAATGAAGTTTCCAGACGTGGTTTATAGGAAGCCTGTTTGCTTTAAGCTGTTCAAACACTGTCCGTCTTTTACAGCACTTAATTTGGGCTGTTTTTATTGTTTGTTCAAAATGCCTCTAAGGACATTGAGGAATGATCCATGAGGAATGTTAAAAGCCCATCCTGACACGGACAGACCTGTGAGCTAAAATCTTTTGTGTGTCTGTCTCTGTGTGTGTGTCTTTAGGTACAACCCCACCAAACTAATCAAGAGAAGATGAAATGCCTTCATCTTGGCATCCTACAGAGGGAATTCATTTCAAAGGCGCAGGAAGTATGTCAAGACTCCCATCATCGCTTAAAATAAAGACTCCATAATTTCATAGATAACTTTTGATAACTGCTGATCAATACAAAGTACAGTAGTGATAACTGCTTCATGACTGCTAAAATGATCAGAAATGTTCTCCAGCGTTTTGTTCTTCTGTTCTTCCTGTTCTGTCTATAATTATCTTCGTCCTTTGCTCTAATTAAGCCACTGACAGTAAGAAATGTAACAAAACTGTCTCATGTTCAGAGATTTTTCTCAAAGTTTTTATTTGTCAATAAAAAAATGCAGCATACAAAACATTAAAAACTCTTCAATTGTACAAGAGAGCATTCAAACCCTACATGCCGAAAGCAGCTGTTCCTTTGTTTTGAAGTTAAGACCAAATGTGTTCCCTGGTTTTAGCTGAACTAGAAACTTAAAAGGGATTCAAGTCGCCGTTTCTTAAACGATGTCTGATGAGCCAACCATACAGGCACTTTCACAGATCTGAAACTGTTCAGATAAGTAGTCATCATGCAAAAATAGCTATGGGCATTTCTGTGCAGGTGGTTGAACCCCACCGCCCCCTTCATTTTCAAGGCATGTGCCATGTATGAGTAGAGAACTGACTTAGCATTCAGCATTAATTGTGCAGTAATAAAAGTTTTTTTTTTTCATGGGCAAAAGAGTGCCAAAAGGAAGGAGACTGGTCTTTAACCACAGTTCTTTTATCTATTGCAATGGGCTTATTTTGCTTAATAATTTATGATTAAAGCAAATTTTCTACTACTACTACTTGAGTACTATTTAAAAACCAGACAAATCTGTACTAAAATATAAAGTATATGGATGGACACAAAATAAATCTGTCAGTGTTTAAAGTTGACAGTGGTCGACAGTTGTGTCCAACCTGGATGTAACAGGTTGTATTTTTTTTAAAAAAGGAAAATAAAATAACAATAATAATAAGACTCTCCACGTTTGAGTCCCCCAGTCTCCTCTGCAGTCCTTTAATGTTTGGCTTAAAACTCTTCCCATGCCTGTCCTCTGCTCATAGCAGCTGCTAGGCAATGGTTCATGCCTGCATGCATATATTTAATATATCAAAACAAGTCCATGAAAAAAAGCATCAAGGAATAATTCAGCTGAAATTCAATATTTAACACAAGTAACAATATTTTCACTAGTTAACTGTTATATGATTACCAAAACTTCTACAGCAATGTCTTAAACTACTTTGTTAGTGAAAAAATTAATGTGACTACAGTATTAAGTAATGCATTGCCCCCAACATTGACTCTGACTACCATATTGTATTGAAGGGGGCAGAAGAAGAAAAAATCCCTAAACAAGGATCAAAGTGTCACATCACAATAAACAAACCATGAGCTGTGCGTGAGCGGCACACAATAAAAATCAGCATATGGCATCACACTCTTGCAGACAGTATTTAAATGACTGAAAGGAAAGAAAGTATAGCGGGAAGTTGCTACTAACACTGCTCACAACCTGTCTAACCTGTTATTTGGCACTTAACAAAACAAAATTGGCTGTTTACTGTAAAGCTGTATTAAAAAATGGAAGAAGAATTTTATATATACACTCATAGACTTAGGCAATATGAAAAAAACAAATTGAACTTGATTAGGTGAGGCATTTAAGAAAGAGTTGTGGTAGAAGTCTGGCTTGATAATTACTGTGTACTGTGTTCCACAATATTAAGAGAACCTGTGACATGACCATAGTGATAGACAATAAGTAATTGACATATTGCCCAGACATGTTGATTGAATAGGTCCAAGACGGAGCGAAGATGTTAGCCTTAAGGGGGATAGTCACAACATGTTAAAAAATAATGTAATTATAAAAATACAGAGAGGATGCTAAGATTTGGTTTGCTAAAAATATAAAAATAAATTATTTGGATGGTATGATTGTAAAAATGGATATTCTGCAAGTGTGCTTTTCTGTTTTATCTTTTTCAAAGGCCCTTCGCTACATGTGTGGGATTAAGTTCAGATGCTCTGGCCAAAATGACAAGAAATTTGTTTTATAAATCGATTATACTTTTTCACTATATTCTAGTCATAATATAATTGGCAATTATTAAGCTTAAGGACCATACTGGATTTCTTGTTTTATCCAATCATATGTTAATACTGCATGGAAAGAAATGTGTACCATGCCAAGATACTTGAATCCAAACAGTAAAATTAGCAATGGCTGCCAAAGAATACATTCAGATCTACAAGTGAAATTATTTGCATAGAAAGTCTTTCCCATTAGCACTATATTTAAAGTAACAGGTCAGAGTTATTCGACTTTTCTAACTTTTTTAGGTATATGGCTCCAACTACCTACAATAGCAGCTAAACAAAGAATCCTCCTAAAGTAGAAAACAAAAGCAAAATATTGTAGGCTCAGAATAATCAGGAACATTGAGATTGCTCAGCCATGAACTTGAGATACGCTTATGAAATAAATCTTCATCCAAACACTCAAAACTACAGGTTGTATTTTTTAGACGATCTTAACTTTTTAAGTGGGACCTTAGATTGCTCCGTGAGTTTCCATCACATACACAACAATAGCTATTAAATTGCATGGAGAATAAGCATCGTGGGTTCTACTTTTGGAGTATTCCCTCTCTGAAAAGGCAAAGCTAAAATAAGACTTAAAGTGTGATACAACAGCAATTACATGTTGTTAGTAAATGGATCGAAAGACACATGGTGAACGAATAAATAACCCTGATTAAAATAAGGTCCCATTCAGTTGTGAGGTTGCAGATTGACTAGAAAACATTGGCACATGGTAGCTTGGACTTCTGGGGACTTCTTATGAAGTCAGACTAGACTCATGAAAGTTGTCTTTTGTTTCTTTAGAAACTAATTAGTGTACATCCATTGTCTTTTTGGTCTCAAAGTTGTAAAGCCTTAGCTCTGATGAGAAAACACTGCATTAATGATTAAAACATATTAAAACTCTTGTCTTCCCCTTCACCATTTACATCAGTTGGGCTCTTGAAAACTGTGCCCTACGACCTGTACAGCTCTTCTCTCCATCATGGTTTCAAATGAAGTTATTACCTCCATTGCTGATGAGCTTCCCTTTCTTCTTGAGTCTCTTCAGCAGACAGGATGCGATGCCTAACGCACCACCCTTCAAAAAGCGAACAAAGTTGTCTCCCACCAGCGGGCCCATGGCAAACAGACCTGGCTCCTTGGTACACTCAAAAGTGTAGGGATGGATGTCAATGGGGTTCTGCTTGCAGGAGACGGGTTTTGTTGGATCCTGACCCAGGTACTGGCCCTGCCCTTTCAAGAAAAACAAGTTTGGGTTTGTCCCGATCAGCACTAGGGCCATGGAGATCTTGAATGCCTTGAGGGAGTTGTTCCCTTGCAGCAAACACTTCATGTCAGACTGGAAGGACACCACGCAGTGTTCGGGGAAACTGGTGTAGTCTGGAAACTGGCCGACACTGGCGTTACCAACCATGTTACCTGTGGCAAGTTGGGGTTTTGGGCACATCTTGGCACATACTGAAGAGGCAATACTAACTGCCTGGGGTCTGTTTGAAGCAGAGGAGGGAGCCACATTTGTATAGGTCTGAGAGCACATCATGTTGTAGACTTTGTGATACTCTGGGTACAGGGTCTTGGGCAGCTGTTTGAAGATGAGGTCTGGGTCATCTACGCTCTTACGAAAGACATGCAGCACTCTAATGTTGCTGTTACAAGCACACAGAACGGCATCTGCAGCGCTTAAACCAGCACCTACGATTAAAACCGGATCAGAGTTCATATCCAGTTTTCTCCGGCTTATGGCCAAACCCAGGTCTGAGATGCTGTGAAATACAAACGGTAGGTCCTCCCCCTCTACACCTAATCGAACCGGTGAATCGGACGCACCTGTGGCCAGAACCACATTCTCAGCAAACAGAGAGAAGGGGACATGAGTGTCGTTCTGCACCTGCTGATATCCCCTCACTTCCCAGAGAGCCCCCCCTCCTCCACTGTTTAGACACTCAACTCCATTCCCCTCAAACCCTCCATTACCACCATTTCCCACCCCTCCATCTCCTTGATCAGTGTGCCCATTTTCCAGACCTTCCCCCTCGTGCCCTCGGCAGAGTTTCTGAACAGAGGTCACATAGGTGTTGTCAACAAAATTCTTTTGGAGGCCCTTTAGCTTCACAAAGTTACGATAATAGGATGAGATCTCTTCTGGGGTGGCTCTGTCACTGGTTACATCCCTAGAGATAAGAGAAAGACAATGAGGAAAGGGATAACACAGAATTAAACTGAGGCTTTATCCATGTCTTTACTGTCCTCTCTCTCAGTACCTGCGTTTCCCATTGGTCAAGTCTCTGTAGTTGACCCCGGGAAGCTCCATCCAGATGCCAAGACTAATAGTCAGCATGGAGCCTTCCATTGCCTGAGGAGACGATAGAAGGGTAGAGGAAAAGGCAATGTCAGAGAAGGACAAAAACAAAACAACTGACTGAAAATATGGGTAGATACAAGGGTGTTGCAGACTAAATCTTGTAGCTTACATGCCAAGCACCTCCAGGTGTTGCCCTCCCCAGCACCAGATGTGGGATATGTTGTTGCTTGTCTCTCCTCCACTGAAGGACAGGGGGGAATTCGTAGCCAAAGTCAGCATTGGGGTGCAGTAGTGTGTCAAAAAGCACAGCCACAGGGTTCCTTGACCTCCCTTCGAGACCTTCACTCAAATATTCCAGATCCTGCAAAAAAAATAAAATAAGGGCTCTATCATGACACACTTGAGTGACTGTGATCATTAGCACATATTCATGTAATTTGTAGGTGTTTTTTTTACCTGTTCTGTGATGGGAAGGTGCTTGGTTTCCTGCAGCTTCCTGTAAAGTATCGGGTTTGGGTGAACAGCTGTTGTATCTAGGTAGGGCTTGTATCCACTTAGCAGGTAGGACAGACAAATACCTGATGGCCCGTTGCCTAAAAGCAGATCCAGGTTTGGGAAATGGCATATGACACATGATACCGCGTTAGATTGAAAAAGATGCTTTTAAGACTTAAAAATGTGTGCTAACCATAATACTAAGGGCAAAAAGTTTACCTATGATGACCACAGGGACAGTGGGTGGGTGCTCTTGTGGCAAAGCGGTCTCTTCCAGAAGAGGCATGGCTACAGCCTGGGCCAGAGCCGGCGCTGAGGAGGAATGATAGAAATGTGAAGAAAGTTCCAGACATTTCTGTAGCCATCCATTTGATATTCAACTAAAAGTAGAGGCCCATTTGTGCTTTGTCCCCCCTACTGCTTCCATTTTTCTGGGTCAGTTTATTTGAACAGGTTCAAACTGGCTTGCTTTGTCTTTGTGTCTGCCAATGTTGTTGTTGTCTCATGTTAGCTTAGATCCTGTCTCCGTCTACCATCAGCTGACTCAGAAACGCACACACTGAAAGAGGGAAAAAACTTTTATTCATCCTGTTATTGTGCTTCCACACACAGCCATGACCCTCCCTGTCTGTCTGGGGCTTCACACACGTGGAAACACCCCGCCACAACACAACGTGCCCCCAGCTTTTCTCTTTGCCGTCCCGCCAACGTCCACACCCCCCCTATCCTATCAAACATGGCCCGCGGCGAGGCTAGCCTCTGTTAACCCCGGTGCCGCTTCCCAAACAAAGGGAGTTCTCATCAGATTTATGTAGGCTTGGGTCTGTTGTGAAACGTTGCCATTGAGCATGTGTAGTGTGTGTTTGTGTGTTACGCGACAGTGCCATTGTGTGCCCGCCGGGCAGCAAATCCCCCCTGATCACTCCTCTGAGTGGGCCCTAATCCCACTGGGCCTGTTTATGTCTTTACCGCCCCTTTCAAACAGCAGCATGGTGAGAATGTGGTCCTGGCATGCTGACAGACTAAACCATCAGAACTCCTCCTCTTGTACCCGCCAGCCACCCACTGCCGCCGCCGCCACCACACATTCACAGACACTCCCGCCAAAACATTACCCACTGGCCACAGCAAACAGTGCCCACTTGCCCCAGTTTCATACTAACCAAAACACTGCCCGCACCTTTGTCTTACATCCCAAAACTCTGGCTCACTACCCTTAAAACTCCCATCTCTCCCTGCTGCCAATACAGTACGCCTCATTTCACGTGCACCCCTCCCTCCCTCCCTCCCTCTGTCTGACCTGTGTCTGTAGGCCAACTGGTTGTCTTTGGTCGTCGGCTTGTTTACCCTTTTCAGTGAAAGCACTGGGCTTCCACACATTGCCTGCTGTGTTTGGAGAATGTCGTGCCCCCAGTTGGCAAGCTCATACTGGTATTTCCATGCCACTGGTCAATTTGACAAACCCCACAGTGTTTACAGTCATAAAAGCTTTTTGTTTTTTTAACTTTGACTTTTCACACCCGTGGGTCAGTGCTTACCAAAATAGAAAGTGGATGTTAGGGGATCCCATTTAATTCACAATAGTTTAGTTATCTCCCTGTATGGTTGAAAAAACAGAAGTTTGTAGTTCAGCAAGGAAGTTCATTCGAAACCTTTGGAAACATTACACAACAGTCCCAACTAAAAGGTACAAATACTAGAATTTCTTTCCCTTTTTTGGTGGCTTTTCAACAGTGTGCTGCATTTTAATCTGCATATGGAACAAGATTATTTAATCACACCTCATATTTTTAGGATGGTTAGGTTGGTTGTTCAGTCCCCCTGAAAATGCAAACTTGGTTTTCCAGCTCTGATCTATCAGCCTAGTCAGGTGTAAAAGCTACATGATGCACAGTGCTGTACTGTTGTTGCATCATTTGTTGATTTCGCCAGTTTCACAATTTTATATCTTTGATTATGGTGACAAATGTAAGAGTAAACCATAAATCATAAATCTGTGTGATTGAGTTACTATTGAGTTTTTGACCTTTAATTAAACTCCATTCAGTACCAAAGCAGAAACAATTTCAGTGCAGATCCTATAAACTGGAGAAAGAAAAACACAATACATCCACAGCTCAAACGTGATTATTAAAATAAATGTTGACTTTATTGTTGTTGTTAGTTGACCTTATTTGTGGTTGGTTGTACCATCTACCTGCCCTCTCATGCGCCTACATGTGCGCGTTTTGCAGCATGTGTGGAGAGGACGGACCATACTTTTCTAGAACATAGTGTACTGAGTATTGTTGGCTATGGAAAACAAATGACACCTAATGTTAAACTTTTAATGTCCCGTGGTCAACAGAATGACAAAATGTATTGTATCTTATTATTGTTCATTTAGATTTTTTTTTTCAATTGATGAATCCTTTATGATTTAGTACAGGCTCTGTTTGAAAGGTGCATTTTTTTTTTTTTTTACAGGCCTACAACTACAGCCTCATCTTTGCAACGTGGGCTAATTTTTGCACAGAGCACCCTGCAGGTCACTTACAACATTAGGTTTTACTTTAAAGCACTAGATTGTGCATATATAAGTGGATGCTGCTGCAGCGCAAGCTACCGGAGCAACTGAATGATGTAGCAGTCTGACACTCCATCATACCCCTCATCCTCATGGACCCACTGGCTCAAGCATCCCACTACACTCCTGAGCAGCGGTCCTCGCAGCCTGCATCCAATAAGGCACAAGGAGCGCATGCGACAGCGGCTGTGTCACCCATCAATTGCATAATTTAGGTCAAACACACTCACGAGCATCCGCAACACCCGGCCAAGAACAGGATCTCTTACCGCGTTGTGATGTATCTCTCTATCTCCCAGTCGCGTCCTGTTATCACGACCCACGGCAGCGTTTCTAACCGTATAAATAGGCAGACACCGGTGGGAGGACCTATCCAACTGTCCGGGGTCTTGCATGAGATAATAAGCCAACCTCTCTCTCGTCATCACGCTCACCCGCACACACGCTTACCTCTGTGCGGTTAAATCCGAGCAGACCTGGTTTATTCAGGTCTGATCAGCCCGAAGGGGGTAGATCTTCTCTGAGTCTTGATGGCAGTATGTGTGTGTGTGTGTGTGTGTGTGTGTGTGTGTGTGTGTGAAAGAGGGGGGAGAAACCGGGTCCTGCGTTTGCTTTTGTCGTCACATGCGCATCTCACTCCTGCACCGGCAGAAAGAAGAGAGCCGGAAGATCGGATCAGCATCCCATCATTCTCACTGCACCGCCGACACTCTGCTTCTTTACCCACTCTTTATTTTTAAGAATTACATCGTCCTAAATCACCCAAATGCTCAGGACAACCTTTCTCTATCTGGCCATAGAAACAAACTAAGCCCTGCTGTGCGCTCCTGTGAGCTGTGATATGTTTATAACCCACAATATCAAAGCAGCTGGTCAGAATTAACATTATAATGGTGATTTTTCAGTTCTCACAGCCCTCTGGTGGTGAGGTTATAGCTGGAGAATATCCTGCGGTGGTGCTATAGTTAGAAATGGTCATCCAAATTCAGAAAGGGTTCATCTCAAGAGCATAAATGGGCTCATTAAACGTTGTAGAAGTGAAGATTTGGCCTGATGGTGATGCTATCTTTTCATAGTGAAGCTTTGGTAAAGGAGAGTTCTTTGATGGAAGGTCAGGGGGTCACCAGAAGCATTTTGAGTTATCCTCTCTAGGACAGTGGTTCTCAAACCTTTTTGTGTTAAGGACCCCCAAATGATACACATCAGGCCACAGACCTGTATTTAATAAGACGTATAGACTCAGGAGTCAGGGTGGTCATGGTTTTATATGATTTAGTTATTCTACTGTCTGTCTGTCTGTCTATACTTTAAATTGGCAGATTAACAGTAAATAGTATTAAACCTTTAACCAGAGTAGTCATTCTTATACATTCTCTCACTGGGCTAACTTCTAGTTAATTAAATACAGGGGTGGATCTAGAGAAATATTCATAGGGCAGCCAGAGGATGGTGTGGAGACGAGGGGTGGCAGAAATATATATCGATTTAATTGCAAACAATTACATATAATTATATTTGCTTGGACAAGGCCCCATATGAAGGAATTTAAACTCAAAAACATTATCGTGGCACATAAGTATAAAGCACTGAATAAAAATATCTCAAAGTGGCATTAGAAATCAATAAATTGTTTTATTTCCAAATACAATGCTTTTTTTTTGTTGAACTTAAAGCCATCACCTAGTCTGAAATGTGACCATAACAGATCATTAAATTATATGTGTCAATTTCCACTTTTTAACATGTTTATTTTAATAATGTGTTAAATTGGACAGTATTTCACAACAAACTGGGTTGGCCGGGCATTTTTTTACTCTTCTAGGTCCGCCCCTGATTAAAAAATAGTTCAATTAAAATATGGAACCTCCCCAAAGACCCCTGGGCGTCCCCGGATGCCAGATTGAGAACCACTACCATCTGTGGTATTCTATTGTTGACCCAGCTCTCTCCGGACCAATGTGTAGGAATAACAGATCAACTAACGGACCCATGTTACTGTCCTCAGGCTTTAAAAATCTTAGTTTTTATGCTTTGTCAATAAAGAATGAACTTTTCAACTGACACAGTGTGTGGATAAAATGACAACAATGTCTTATAATGTTGTGCAATATTGCCAGTGTAGTTTCTTGTGTTTGGCTGTGGCACTATATGTTCATTTATAAACTTTAAAAGATAATGGTCATACAGTACATTTGAAGATGACCGCCACTTCATCATTTCCATATTATGGATTTGCCAACACACAGCGGCTGCATCAGCCCAGCAATAATAAGGTAAAAGATTGACTAAAGAGAAAATGTTCATCTACAAATACGATACGATTCAGAGGTGAAAATCTGTCAAAAAATATGAACAGTTGGTTACAAGAAATACTTTATTACTCTTAAAATAGCAGCTGCACTGTTCAGTTGCTATGCAATGCAGTGAACAGCTTGTCAAACTTGAACTGAATTACTAATTTAACTTTATTTAAGTGCCTTGAGTGTTTTCAGCATGTATAGCCCCATATTGAATCTTAAACTCTTCCAAGTTTAATCTTTCATCAAGTCACCTTCTGTTTCTTAAATTATTTGTGTCCTTTAAACGTCATGTTGTGTGTTGATGCTATGTCCCAATGTCTGTCTTCATTTGTTTGTCTTGTGTTTTTTGCAATACAGTATGATCAACCCAAAAACAATTTTCACATTGTTGACCATTTAGTTTCTACCTAAATAAACATTATCTGTAGGCTCATGAGTACATTTTGACTGTATAAATAGGGAGGAAGCTCCTTCTGATCTACCATTAGTCCATTTTGAGGTCAGAACTGACCAAATTAGGTTAATTTGGTGGGTAACAGATGATATGAGATACACAACTTATAAACACCATAAACAAAATATTATTTTGATAAATATATTTCAAAAAGGGAAGCTGCAGTTTATGTTGGGATTCAACATCAAACTCTTGAACTATTTGTATATTTACAGGAGCTAAAACCTCATGTATTGGTTTACTAGTATCGTGTTTGTTTATATACTAATTAAATAAAAGTTCATCCATACCAGCATCATGTGTGGCGAGTCCCAGCAGCTGTCACTCACCACTACGGAGTCCCGCCTCTTTGTCTCATGAGCCAATGAGCTGAGAGGAACCCACCACTTCCGGTCCTTCCTACAAACACACATGGGAAGCTAGTCGCTAGCTCAGTAAACAACACAAAGAGTGGTAATAAACACCACTGAAGATGGTGCAGCTCAGTAGGATTTGCTTCCGGAAGGTAAGCACTGTTGCAGACCAATTTTAATCTCATGAAAGCAATTTATTTACGCACAATTGTGATGTTGACATTGGCAGGTAAGCTAACTGTTAGCTAGGCTAGCTGTGTGTGTGACAGGCTGCTGTCTGCTACCGCTGCTAACCATCAACATTGGCTTATTTGGTCTGTGGGATCTCGTTTATTTGTCAGCTTTATGTCACATTATATGTGTAAAAGACAACATATATATATATATATATTTGTATGTAAGCATGTTAACTCATTATTGACCTCGGAAATGGTGGTTAACTCAAGGTCCACTTACTTGACTGGCTGTATCCAAAGTTCAACCTTAATGGAGATGGATCTGTTGACATGAAGGCTCTGAAGCTGTTATTGTTAATCCAAAACAATTTCAGGTCCCATGTTGGCTCAAGCATGAAGCACGTTTGAGCTTGGAAATAGCAGTCTGCCAAAACAATCCCATGATACAATTGTAAGCTGTAGAAAAAGCAGATAAGTGGACCTTGAGTTGGGATTGTTTTGTCAAACAACATATTTATAGTTTGACAAAGTGAGGAGGAGTGCATTAAATCAATGTCAGATGACCAGATAGCTTTTTACTAACAAGTCAGTACAGTGAACACCTAAATTATTAATGAAATCAAAGTCACTCCAAGTCAAAAATAAATCATAAAAATTACAATAAATCAAACATTTTTAGTTCAGGTTACCAGTTTGGGTCAGTGAGGCACCTGTTTATTATGAGTGGTATTTTTAATCTCATCACTGTAATATCTCTTTCTGCCTCCTGCAGTATGGAAACTTTGTGGATAACCTCCGTCTGTACGCCCGCGGAGGCAGTGGGGGCATGGGTTTACCCCGTCTTGGGGGACGGGGGGGAAACGGGGGAGATGTTTGGGTGGTGGCTACAAAGAACATAACCTTAAAGAGGATCAAGGACAAGTACCCGCACAAACGTTTTGTAGCTGGAGCAGGAGCCAACAGCAGGTTTGTTTTTACAAATAAAAATAAAACCTCAAGTGCAGTCAGAATATATCTGTTGCATGTCATTCACCAATCATCGATATCATGTGATTTATGGTTGTCAAAGATCTTCAGACATGTCAAATAATAGATGTTAATAGATAGATTCTAATCCTGAGAGAGCTGTTTTGTGTATTTATTGTGTTTTAATCTCATTCATTGACAGTGTCCATGCTCTGAGAGGAGAGAGGGGGGAGGACAAGGAGATCTTGGCTCCTGTTGGTATCACAGTCACCACTGATGATGGCAAAGTAATTGGTATGTCTAACTTTTGTAAAACCGCCTCTATTTTGTACAGTGCATGGTCAGCACAGTCAGTGATGCAATGTTGCAGTTTCATTTTCTAATAGATGCCTGACTTACTTTACTTTAAACCATCCTGCATTTTATCTTCTTTTTAGTTGAGTTTATAAAGAACAAGGAGTTACTGCAGTGGATCCCTGAGAATACGCTGTAGTAGATGTAGTATTATAGTAGTATCATACCTTTCTTGGTATCCAACATTTCACAGCACTTGCTGTTGGTCAAACATTTGTATCTCCTTTGTATCACACTGTATTTGTGTCAATACGACCTCAAAAGGGAGGTTTCATTGAAATATGAGCTGAACATTGACGTTGTAGGATTATGATTAAGTACATTATTTGTAGCATACATTGTATAGTATCAGTAATCAAATGGGAGGGAATAGCCAATTGATGTTTCAGTAAAACGTAATTTTACCCAAGGTGACCTGAATGCTGACGGTGATCGTCTAATGGTGGCAAAAGGAGGACCCGGAGGCTCCTTCCACTCTGGGTTTGAACCCAGGAAGGGCAAGGCCAAACACATAAGGCTGGACCTCAAACTCATCGCTGACCTGGGCCTCGTTGGGTAAGAGCAGAAATACACGTCAACATTTTTGTTCAATTTAGCTGAGACTCAAATATTTTACTAAGCATCTTGATTTTCTTGTGTTGATTCACCATCAGGTTCCCAAATGCAGGAAAGTCCTCTCTTCTGACAGCCTTGTCTAACGCCACCCCTCAGATTGCCAACTACGCCTGTGAGTACATAATACTACACTCATGTACAAACTGTATTTTTATGTTCTTAATTGTGCGTTTTTACAGTTTAATAATTTTCAGGTCTACATGCTGTCATCTTTTTATTGTTTTTGTTATTTCACAGTCACAACTTTGAAGCCGGAGATTGGAAAACTGATGTATAGCGATCATAAGCAGGTATGGGAATGTATATGTATGTGGTAGGTATGTATGTGTGTTCTTTAACTGCTCATCAAATTAGTTCCTTTTAATCTTGTTTCCCCTCACTCAGTAGTGTTTGTATCATTTATTTTTGGTAGATTTCTGTTGCTGATCTCCCCGGCCTGATTGAGGGAGCTCACATGAACAAAGGCATGGGCCATAAGTTCCTAAAACATGTGGAGAGGACCAAGCAGCTGCTGTTTGTGGTGAGTAGTCAAAGTGACAGAAAGTACATAAGCTGACATCTTATTATGTTTAAATGTGGCCAGAATAACCAGCTGTAGATTGCCTGTGATGATGATGATAATGATGATGATGATGGTGATGATGGAGTTTAATTTGGTTGTGCTTTGTCTGGCTGCAGGTAGATGTTTGCGGTTTCCAGCTGGCAAGTAAAACACCGTTTAGGTCGGCTTTTGAAGCTGTTCAACTTCTTACCAAGGTGAGACTGATAATGCGAAAGACACTCTTTTCCTTTTGGCTCGACTCCTGATCCGTCCATCTCATGCACAGCTTCTCCATCATCTTCTTCATCCCCTCCTTCTCTTCCTCTCTCACCACGTTCTCAAGGAGTTGGAGTTGTACAAAGAGGAGCTTGTATCGAAGCCTGCTTTACTGGTGGTGAATAAGATGGACCTGCCTGACGCTGAGGACAAACTAGCAGAGCTGACGGAGCAACTACAAAATCCAGATGGTAAATTTGATAGATTTCTTTTACTATTTTACTCATTATTGTTCAAATCTTCACAGTCAGTTAAATTTATAAGACACAGAAAACCTTGCTAACGTGCTAAATGTTATCTAATTTGTGTATTTAATTTGTACCGCTAAATTTTTTCATTGAATGCACCTGAATTCTGCTTTTCTATGTGAAGATATCTGCTCGCTGTAGTGATGCAATGGTGGAGTCAGAGGGCAGTTAGCCTTATATTCAATCTTAGATTAAGACAGGAAAAATTGGAGCCAATTGCAATAATAAAAGGGCTAACAGACATAGTCAATAAAACAAATGGTGCAGCATTAAACATGCATATTGACTGACAACCAAAAAGCAAAGAATCACAATCAATTGTGTTGCCTGTAACATGTTAACAGGACAACAATAAATGCATTCCTCCCTGCAGAGTTCTGCGATCTGTTGCCTGATGACATGATACCGAAGAACTATATGACCTTCAGACACGTGGTTCCTGTCTCTGCCGCCAATGGATTTGGTATGGAACATTTGAAAACTTGCATCCGAGAATCAATTGATGAAGATGCAGAAATGACAAGTAAAGCCACCCATCAGCATAGACTGCAGGCACTGAGGCTCCACTCACTGAAGCATATGTGATGAACACGGACAACATGTCACAAATTCCAGTGGGACCTACAGAGAAAACACCTGTGACAACAGAATGCTGTTTCAGTGCAGACCGGTCAATGGAAGTCTCACTGACCGCCACAGCCAAAACATCCAATGTCACGAGGCTTCACGAGTTGGACTGTGCTTCAAATTGTTTGCCTGTTTGGTCTGAGCTTTTCAAAATCGAAGCAGAAATGGATTTTAGAGGGGAAAAATTCAGATTATCAATATAGCAGCTGATATAGTGAATTTTTAAGCTGGAATGAAAACAGACCGATTTTGCACCGATAGGACTATTCAAAGGTATTCAGAAGGCTGCTTTCTAAAACAAATGACTTTATTAGAGAATATTAGGGCTAAATATTTTTTAACATGTTAAATTATTGAACATGTAGGCTACTCTGTCAACCAATTCTGGAAATGAACACTGAGAAAATAAAGCATGAATAAAAATAAGTAGCTAAACATCAGTACTATAAAAACTACAACTACTACAAAGTACTGCATTATATACCAGGAAAGGAGGTTTTCATATCGGTGCATATCGGATGACACAACAGTGATACTGATATGTCTAATAGGCCAATACCGGACGATAATATTGGCTCTAGTTTGAACAAATTTGTACGCTTACCCTTGAAAAGATGTTGGTAAAGCAAATGCTTAAGCAGTACCAGGTGCATTCGTACCAGCCAGTTCTTTTCTGTTTTGTCTGATTGCTCACAAAATCAAGATTGTATTTATTTTTACCATTGTGTGTTATACGGATGCACTGATCCAGAGCTCTTTTTTTTACACCCAAATTTAAAATCTTACTGTGCAGAACTCACTGCAGTCATTATGTGAGGTTACACAAGGCCACGGATTACTGTGGCACCTCAAACGGAGTCTGCTGCCTGCTGTAACTGATAATGGAAACACTGAAAGTAATAAGGACATTGACAAAGAAACTGCATTTACTGTGGATCGGTCACGCCTAATATGTTGGATCAGTGCATCTCATGTGTGTTGTTGTAATACAAAACCATTAATAAATGGAGTCAGTTCTCCAGTATATCTTGTAGTGTTTCTTTTCCTGTATGAGTAAAAGGTTATTACAAATGTTAGCATAGACAGATGTGTTGATGAAAGTTTTATTTTATATTAAATATATTACAATACTGAATGATTAAGAGGAAAAAAAAATATGGGGATTGATTTTTGCATCATCAGTCTGTACAGCATACAGGCAAAAAAAAAAGGGAAAAAAGGACAGAAACTGCAGTATTTAGACTTGAAATAGAACATGTGGGGTTTTCAAGGTTCCTGCAGCAGAGTGCTGATGTGTCTGGCAGGATGGGACCACATGGTTGAGACTGGGTGGTTGGTGTGCTCCAGTACACAAATACATTCAAGTCTCTGGCCAGACAGAGACAGACAGCTCATCTGTGGGGGCGTTTTGCCAGAGTCGTCCTGTTAGGATCTGTCAGTCCAACCATGTGCGCAGGCAGATACAGCAGATATGTTTGGAAAATTGACAGCTGTACAATCACAGAAATCACTGCAGCTTGCAGGGTCCCATCCTTAGCGGAGTCTCCTCAGAATGTCGTACAGTGCAATGTCCATGACACAGGGACAAATGTCTCGCTGTTGCACAGTATCATGATGTTACAAATATTACTTGAGCTCTGAGATACCGCTCTCCACAGCCTTGGGTAGCCCACGAAGATGACTGGGCCACTAGACACTTACTAATACTTTTGAAGAAGACCAGGGCGAAGAAGAAAGCTCTGGTAGAAGGCAAATTAGGAGCCCATACAGATCTCACTTACAACATTATGTATCCGAACCTTTTATGATACAGATTAGCACATGCCAGAGGAACGACCGCTTTCTTTTGGCCCCGGGACAAATGTGTTTTCAAAAAACTCAACATGTCTCCATTCAAACTCATCAACACACATAATTACAATAATGCACTTAATTACTGTTTGAATCGTTGCTGTACATAATGCTGAGAAAAAAGTGAACATTACAAAGGTACTTAATAAAAAAGATACTAGCAATATTAGTCCAATATTGTGAAGATCATATTACCTATACAATCCTAATGCATACATGAATTACAAATGAGTGCCCACACTGGAACAAAAACAGTAAAATGACAAACAGGACGCCTTAAGACAACAATTTCTACACAAGGTAGAACAATGAGTTGTAACTGTACAAAGAACTTGCTTTGTGGGGAGTGATATGGGATTAGTTTCCAAAAAAATACACCTTAAATAGCTACACTGGCATCAGTCAACTCCATTCTCAACCCCTTTAAAACCTGTGACTTCCTGTCATGAATTGTCCTGACGGTGCTCACAAACGGTGTAGTCTGTGGTTCAAAAACCCAATTTAGACAACAGCAAATAGGCAATGGGGGGGGGGGGGTCTTTCAGCGACATGCTCGTTTCCCGTTATGGTCTCACAAATAGCCTACCAGAGAAATAACTTAATTTGATATAGAACTGTCATGCTGTTGGTCTTCACAAGCTCAAACAGCAAGCACTGTACAGCATAATTAATCATTTACAAGGCTAAATATCTCAATCATCACAGCTAAATCCAAAATGCACATTTCAATCACAGTTTCCAGATTCTCTCCCGGGTCATCAACCACACTCACGTTATCGACTTCTTATTCTCATGTTCATCTCGTCTCAAACATCCAAATGTAGAATCAGGGCAAACTCAATACATCTTAATATTATCAATGGGGAAATTTCAAAAAAACCACAGAGTGAAAAGTGGCATCTCTATAACTACACCAAACACATCCCGTTCATTTCACTCAGGAATGGCACGTAAAACTATTTAAATGTTCCTAAATAATACTCATCGACAGCCACTTTAGCAACATATGTAATGCGCCGCAATCGACATCCTTATCAATACTTCCTCAGTCATCACTGGATGTCTGTGCATTTCTCCCAGAGATGGATGAAACCAGTGCCAAGATAATATAAAAACACTTTTACATTCTGCTGTGGATGGAGAAAGCTATATAGGTCACAGTCACACAGGAAAAAAGCCAGAGGGAGGAAAAAAATAAGAAAAAAAACAGGACGAAATAGAATAGAAACAGACAGAAGAACGAGTGCGGGGTCTCTACACTTATCTACAGAAATCGGCTTCTGTCTACAACACAACACAACAGGAAGAGGAGAGAAGAGACGTCGCTCTCTTTCAAAATAAAAGCAAAAAACATACTCTGTGTGTATTTGACTGTACATATTTACACACGCACAAACAAACCGAGGGGAGGAGGAGCAGGGTGGGGTCAGGTTGGGGCCCTGTCATGGGTTATGGGCTATAACTGGTGATACAATATGGGTTACCTATAGTGGAGGGAAAGAGTCTAAGCCTACAGAAGGTATAAAATCTCTGCCCCCTCGCATGCTTTCCTTTCAGATCGGACAACTGTTCTTCTCGTCTTTTCAGTAGGAGGAGGTTGCTGATAAACGGGGTTGTCTCATGCATACAGTGTTGGAGAGTCTACAGTGATTCACGTGCGTCAAAATGATCCAACAAATCCAGCGATGCAGTGTGATACGATGACCTGCTCCTGGCTCCGCTGCTCCTCTTTTAGAAAGGAGCTCCAAACAACTTGTTGGGCGGGGTGGGGGGTGGTGGCGTTGAACTTGAGGAGTATGATGAGAGCAGAGCTAAAGAGGATGTGTCGAGGTTTGAGGTTTTAGGACAGGTGGGGGGGAGGGGGGATTTCCAGTCCCTTAGGTGAGGCCTGAGCAGACAGGAACAGCTCAGTCTGAGCTCCAGCTGGTCTGGAGTGGATGTGGAGATGGTTTCTCCGCCGGCACTCCGCATTGTCTTGTAGAGAACCACTGAATGACGCTGTCTGTCAAGACAGCCTCGGAGATGCTTGTACACACTTACTCACACACACCTTTGCCTATTCCGACTCCAGTGGGGGGCTCTCTCTTTTTCTCTTTAGTTGCTTAGAGTCAAATTTGTTTCATTGTTGTGTTTATCATTCATAGAAAAGGAGAGAAAAGTGTAGTTCCTTAAGGTCTTTTGCAGAGTGGGTAATACGGCTGTTATATTGAAGTCTCCCACAGCTGAGGAGACAAGAAGGGTAAAGGGATGGGGCAAGACAAAATTAAAGAAAATACATTTTAATATTTGTCACTTCACTGCCTATTCACATAGATTTGATTCCGTCTTTGTACTTAAAAGATTAGGCTAGACTTAATGATTTTATAATACTAAAAAAACAGCCTTATCCTTTAAATCATAATCCTCATTAGCTATGTTTTAGTGACCTTCAGTGTTAATAGTTCTGTCACATTGCACTAACCTACTTATCTAACTATCTTTCTGAACTCTAGACTACAATATTAGCCCGATAATGGCCCAACCTGAGAGACGAGTTGCGTGGGGAACAAAATAAAAAAGCATTGGTCAGACAGTTGCTCATTTTATCTCATGTCATGTTTTACAGTGGAAGACAACCCATGCAGCATCCGGGACATTGCACAACATTACCAAAACAAAAAAAAGAAACACTTAGCATGTCACAAATGTTTGAGTTCTGTTTTTTCTGTGACTTAAATGATGTAATGGGTTCCTGATTGATACTTGCCCTGGCACTCTGCCTGTTGGCTTTCCTCTGGTCATCGGGAAGAGGGGGCATGGGGTACGGGTATCTCCTGCTGGATGCAATAGATCCTGTAGAGGAAGTGGGAGACTTGGCAGGGGATAGCGTCCTGAGGAAAAGAGGAGGTGACATTATTAAAATATTGCCTCCTAAGTTCTGGTTGGTTCAGGAATAAGTTGGCCAAAGACACAGATGGATAAATGAGGTGAAATTCAGGAAGTTGAGCTAATGTTAGATCTGTGACTTTGGGCAACATCCTCCTTGAGCTGCTCTAATTATTCGGTTTTCACCTTCCTACACAGAGAGGTTGATCTTAAAAGCTTGTACAGAAACAGACAGATCTTGAATCTGTCCCAAAACAAGTGTGACCATAGCTCAGCTTTTAGGGGCAACCTCTGTACACAGTATGTGTATCTGCACACAGCAGTACACAGTTCCCAGCGGCGGTGTGGGCATAGTCATAGTTTCCTGCAACTCACATGCTTCATCCTGCCACAGAATTACTGTTTCCATCATCGGGCACTGACACACAAAGAAATGCACCTTTAGCCACTGTTTAAACGTGAATGCTGCTAAAAGCAAACTTCTGCTGTTAGCTGAGCCAGTGTGTATACTTAAAAAGTTGCATCAGTGTGTGTGTGTGTGTGTGTGTGTGTGTGTATGTTTAAATGAGGAATGCAGGGAGCAGTGAGTATGATGAGGTGACTGGGACAGCAGACCAGACCGGAGCTGGGTGAGAACAACAGACTGAGAGAATCATAGGGGGAGGTCCTGTACAGTGAAACAGAAAGCCCGCCCCATATACAGAAGCTTGTTTACACCACTGCTGTGTGGTGGTCGGAAACACCTGGAATGGTCAAAGTAGTGGAGAGAGTGGGGAGGCGGGTGGACCACTGGTTCCAGAAGTGTTTTTGCTCACAATGGATTCCTGTTAGCTGTATTTGTTTGTCAGGTAGTCCTCCACTTGAAATACCTTAACATATTAAGATGACATTTTATACACACATTCACGGTGCCCGGAGGATTCCTACTGACTGTAATTTTTCTTTTTACAACGACATGAGCTTCATGTTTGTGGTTGAGTGAGATGATTATTGGATGGATTGCCATGATGTGATACAGACATAAATGTCTACCTCAGGATGAATTGTGACAACTTTGGTGGACCATTAATTTATCGAGTGCCACCGTCAGATCGAAATTACAATTTGTCCAATATTTTTTGTTTAAGACCAAATAACTTTAAAACTAATGAAATTCCCATCAGCCTCAGCTGTACTTTGTTTTTAGTGCTAATTTGCAAATGTTTAAGGTAAAATAAGTTGGTGAACCTGGTGATCAATAACATTGTGACTTCCACGTTTAGCTCACCACTGTAATTAATGCAGTAGTCTTGTAAAGTGGTTTGTTCCCAGGCTCGTAATGTACCTGTGTATAGCTTTTTTTTTTGCTACTTTCTTATACAGACAATTTAATCAGGAGCGCTTTCTGTGGATTTCAGTGCTAGAAATAATCAATCAGTCGAAATGTAAAAATGTGTCTTAGTTCTGGAAACAGGGCTCCCCAACGTAACCCTCCTCACCTCTCCACTCTTTTGGACGGTTTCTGGCCTTAAGTAGGTGTATTAACAGGGGAAGGGCAGGAATGTGCTCCTGGACACAGTGAAGGTCTATAGATTACAGTGCTGATTGAATGTTTGGTGACATTTAGCTTGTAGAAGTGAGGAAACAGCCAGTGCGTAGAGAGCGCTCTACAGAGCCCATGGGCTAACTTGTTATAAAGGGAAATGTGTTTGTGATTATCTATAGACCTTTGACACGATCGGAGTGGTGGCCTACAGTTTGTCACAGCAGCACAGTGATGATTTCAGTGCAGCGCCCAAAATGTTTGGCTCGGCAGTGATATCACACTGATGCATGTGAGGTCACTGAGAGCGAGGCAGGACCGACACAAAGACACTCAGACAGAACAACACACAACATGCAGAGGTAACAAGAGACTGCGGAGGAGAAGCAAAGGAGGGAATAAGGAGAAATTAGGAAGAACATTATAATTATAATTGTATCACTAGCACAGGCAATAAGAGCCATTATTTGTTTTGCATCATAGCAGAATAATTGCTGAAAAGAAACATCTGCAAATTAAAATGCAGCTGATCAAAAAGAAAGGAATGTCTTCACGCAAACTAAAAGGAGGAAGAACATAAAATAGGATATATTACAATGTAAAGCAGAAAAACTATTTTTTAATACTCAGCAGCAACCCCTTTGAGGAACTCTAGGTCGCAACATGCCAGCTGTTGATAACACTTCCTCTGAGATATTACATTTAAAACGTCCACAGAAAAAGACCAGATTAGAGCTAATTGTTACTTTCCTTGACCAAGCCACAAATCAAACCAAAAGTGAGGGGGTTTTTAGACAAGCGTGTGGGGTACAGGACATGGTCTGAGGTAATACCTAAGGTAAGGTCCTTCAGTGTTTCTATTCACATCTTCTACCCACTTAGTTACATCATAAAACTCTGCTTTGAAGCGAGGGGTTAAATACCTGTGGGAGGGGGAGGGGGGGAGTGGGGGTGATGGACACAACACAAGGAGGAGGGAGAAGAGAGAAAAGGAAGGAAGGAAAAGAAATTGAAAAAAGACAAAATCTCCAGAAATAAGCAAGTGTGGGGGGGAGGGAGGGAGGGAGAGAGGAAGAGGAAATATTTTAGGAAAGCAGAGCAGAGCAAAGATATCCTGAACAAACACCAAGATGCAATTGAGAAAATGGTGATAAGATGGCGGACAGACCTGTGTGTGGTTTCAGATGAAAACGGCACCATGAAAATCACAAACAACTGTGTCGTGTGTTACAGGCTCAGTTGCATATTGGTTACATGTCACATCATTCCAAGCAGTTGGCTTCTCGCCGCTCAGTCAGTCTCATGCTTGCAGGTGAGAACAGGTGCACTGCAGACTATTTCATATGCCAAGACCTTCAAACCCACAAAAAAACACGCCTTGCTGGGCGGCAACCGATGCACACTGTTCATTGTTCATTTACAGTCAACAGGCATGTATGCAAATACTTTCTTTGTTCTCAGATGAGCGGTGAGCAAATTTAAAAAGATTTAGGGGCCCCACAAGCCAGACAAGAGCAACAACATCGTTTTGTGTGACTTGACTAGCTTGCGACACACTCTTTACACCCCTGATACTGAAGTTTGGGGAAGCATAATACTTCCAGAGTTTAGTTATTTTTTAGAAGGACAATGATATTTTTCATTTTCTTATATTCAACAAATTTTATGAAAAGACCAAAACCAACAATGAATTGATCCAACTTAAGCAAAAGCCTGATATAACCCACTGAGTCATTACAATGAACACAGAGACTATTTATGTTTATTTCAAAGTCTCTTCCCGTCAATGCTCAATAGTCTCTACCGCATCAAATGTGCATTAATCCACAGGTGAAAATAGTTCCCAAGAAATCTTTGCTCCTTTTTGAGGAATATTTGCTAAAAACTAGAGCTGTTTTATGAGATTATGTAGCCTGTTTTTTTTTTTAAAGAATGAAACTACATATACTTATTGTCACATATATATACATAGATATAGATACTGTATATACTGTAGATATATACTTGTATATACATGTTTTACATCATTCAGTAACCAATGAAAAGAATGAAAGTTAGTAAGCATTAAGAGACCTAGGATGTAACCATGCAAATACCCCCCCAATAGACAGTAGAAATATGTTAAATATTTCCTCCTCTTTTTTTTTACCCCTCATCAATGCCAGCTTGGTGACTTTTCAGACTCTTTTAGTGACTTTATTTCTTTTAAGCCACTAGCGACTATGTATTTTTTCTCCATTGGAAGCTATCCTATTTGCTACTACAGGCTAATGTATAACTCTAATTGGTAGGTGTATTTAAAGTCAGTAAACAGTAAACAGAAGGCAACCAAAATAAAATGAAGTGGAGAGGCAGCCACTGTCTCGGGGGAATCGCAGACTATTGCTTTAAATGTGAATTCAAATGTAAATATAGTCCTCGAAACTACAATCTAAATGTGCAAATTTTCATAAATATCATAGAATTGCAGGAAATGCACAAAAATGTGTAGAGGGCTCTCGTTTGGACCCCCACAATGTCTTTACCATGGTTACACCCTTGTGAGAGACTAAGATATTGTTTGATTTGGTCTTTTTAAATCAGATTTGTTGACATAAACAATATAAAAATAAAGAATAATGCCAGCTTTAAGTCTATTTTCCACTAGAACTTCTTTTTATCTGCATGTGCCATGTACAAAGTTCATTGAGCTCACAACACGACTGACTTGCCAGAAGGAACTTACTCTGTGGAGTTAGAGCGAGCACGGAACTTCTTTCCTTTCAGTTTCTTACGATTACCACTCAGATTTCCTGGAGAGAAACAGAACAGAAACGCACTCGTTAAATACAAATATATACAAGCAAATTATTAACTGTGGATATACGTACATGTATGAGTATGGCTGCAATGTGTTTGTTTCATTAAAACAAATACAGGAACATTTTTATCTATATTGGTTGTAGATAAAATTCACTATAATGATCAAGACACGAGGTGATTTCGTTCCCTTTTTTTTAACCACGTGCTGCCTTTTTCCTGCATTTATTTGGGTAAACAAACACATTTCAAGACATTATTCAGGCTTTATTTAAGGCACCTAAGTGTTTCCTCTTATGATGAGTGAGGGATTCGGGTGTTACCTTGCCATGAGTTGCTTCTCGGTCGCCCATTTTCACAGATGTCAGAGATGTGTTTGGCATCTGGGATTCTCTCACTCCATGAGTGGGATAGGCCATTAGATCTACACACACAGACACACACACACATATGGCACGGACAGAATATGATCAGTACAATATTGTCCTTCCAAGCTGCTACACGCTGTTCTGCTCCTATTCCATTAGTGGAGACGAGGGATAGGCCGACGTAAATGAGAAGAGAATATGAAGACGCCATTGCAGCAGATGGAAACATAACAATATCAATATCATGGCAGCTGAATGTGACATGATATGACAAATGCAGTTGTGAGGTATTTTCTGCTCAATTATCCATTGGCAAAATGTTCGATTCCAAAAAAAATAACCAGAAAGACGCATAATGAAAGCCATGATGGTAAGAAAGCATGATATGAAACCACAAGAACGCAGCTGTGATTTAGAGAACGCATCACACACACACACACATACAATTTGCCAGCTAATGAATGAGTGATGATGAGATGGCACACCTGAAGCCAAACAGTAAGATGTTCTGAGAAATGGATGGGATGGAGGCAGTGAAGGACAGGGTGCAAATCTGCAGGTGCGACAGGCAGGCTGACCTCTTCTTGGAGCTGCAGCCGGAGTTTGTGCTGACACCCGGAGGCATGTCACTGTAAAATGAATCTGCATCCCCAGGCTTTGTTACATAGTCACCTGGGGGCACTGGCCTGGAAATACAGAAGAATGATTTTAAACAGGAAATAACAGTAATTACAGGAACATTATTAATATTTTCGTTCTCACTTTAGGAATGTGCTTTATTTTACTTTATTTGTTGTTCAGTTGTTGTAGGTGTAAGTTCTCAACATGCAACATATTTTGTGGCTGTATTGCATTTAAATTGCATTGCATTTTGTTGAGATATCCCACTACTGTTGAACAGCAGTGCCAACAGCAGAATAACTGTGTACTCTAGGTAGGGAGAGGTACTTTATGCAACTTTTCTACTCCACTTCATTTCAGAGAGCAATAAAGTACTGCCGTACCGCTTCAGTTACTAGTTACTTTTCATTTTTTGTAGGGTCAACCTTTAAAATATGTAAATTTGTTATAAATTGTCCCACAGTATATACAATGGTTAAAATTAGCTTCACTCTCAATGAACTGCAACAGTAAAATACTGCTAACACGTAATATATGTAATAGTATAACACACATAATGCATACTTTCACTTATGTACATTTTGATAACACACGTGTACTTTAAAATTCTTAATACTTAGAACAAAAGCTGTGGTCAAAAATACAAAACCAAAAACATTATTGGGTGTTTTTGTTTGTTTATGATACATAAATATATATATATATATATGTATGTATATATATGTATAGCGAGAGAACACTAACTATCGAAACATGCTTAAACACACCATAGCTTTCTTACGTAATCAACTTAAATGCAACACATTGAAAATAGAGTTAAAGGGAGCAAACCGGCAGAATCTTCGGTGAACCTCAGACTCAACATAGCGTCTCTGCCTGTAGCTCCTGTGAAGAGAAGTATCAGCATCCTCAGTCCAACAACAATGCCACTTTAGTCAAATGTATTGCATAATATAAAGCAGTGATTCCCAGCCTTCTAGACTCGTGATCCCTTAAAACGAAGCAGTAACTTATGGCGACCTCGTCATTTGTTGCATATTGTAACCATTTCAACCAAAGACAGATTTTTTTCTTGCTTTGTTGTAATGATTTTTAGAAAAAGTCTAAAAGCATTGTGTAATTAGCAAGAATAAAAAAAATTAGACTGAAAAAATAAATGTATGTAGTAGAAATATGATTTTTCTTTCCTGTGCTGTTAATCATCTCACAACCCCTCTGATTTCTTCCAGTGAACCCTGGTGGGGGGACCCGACCACTGATATAAAACATCATGTATACAGGCTGCAGGGATACTTACTTGTAACCCCAGGCTGTAACAGCCAGTATGAGGGCGAGGAAGAGGATGGAGCCTATGATGGCCCCGATGATGATGTTGGTGCTGGTGATACCTGAGACAGAAGAAGAGAGGAGAGTGGGGAGCCAAATGTGTGTTAATTGGATGTGTGTCTCTTGTTTCCTGAATCATGTGTACACAAGGGGATACACAAACCACAAAACACTGCAGCAGAACACAAAATCACAATACATTCAGCAGGAAAAGTGTAAAAGGAGAACATGGGGGACGAAACTGAGAGCAACCAAACTGCTGTCACCCCTCAGCACTACTCTGAGGGGAACTTACATGTGCAGTAGGTTCCCATTCAGGATGACATTAAAAACTGCCTGTTTTTAAACTGAGGAATAGTCGGAATTAACCGACCGAGGTGAGCTGAAGTTGGGTTGAGAGAGGAAAAGGATCAGGAAATGACATCAAAGACAGGACAAATACAATGAAAAGGAACTCAAATCTGACCTCAAGTCACTCCGTCAAAGACATCGGCCTGTCGACAAAGAATGAGTGTGAAAATAATGACAAACAAAAAGAATGACATGCATGGTTCAGTGAATACAAATGCAGCTGGTTTTAATGAACAGACATGAACTCAACACAAAAAAATGATGAGAAATGCAATAACAAAACAATTGACAAAAAAGCCAAAGAAAAAAAAAAGCTTGAAATATACAACATAACATTTGTGAATGGGGGGGATTTTAAAAGAAGAACTGAAAGAGATGAAGTGGGGTGGAAAGAGCTGAGAGGTATGGGATATGTAAAGCAGAGAAGGATGAGAAAAGGTGCAGAAAGTGTGAGATGAAGAGAGGTGTGTATAAAAGACAACAAACAGTGACAGCATTAACATCTCTACCTGAAACTGGGGCAGTGGGTCCCACCACAAGATAACTGAGAGGAGAAGTGGAGTTACAGTCATCTCCTGCCCAGCCCAGGTAACACACACACTTCAGCTCACTACTGCACACCTACAGCATAGGAAAGAAAAATGCATCATTTAGGCACTGTCCTGTAACGGTGAGGTCTCAGTTTTCGGATACATTTGCAAATGTAAAATAAAAAGTGCCACAATTTGTGTTGACAAATAACATTCTACTACTCAATATATTATTCAAGAGACCTAGGTTGAGGTTTTAGGGAGTTTAGTTTTAAAGTGTGCAACATATATATCAGTTCGTTAGTAACATTATAAGTAACAAGCGCTGTCAAGTGAATTAGACGTTACATTGTGTACTTTATTGAACACATTATTGACAATAAAGCTGACTTGACTTGACTTGACTTATGGTTTCTCAACCTTATGGTCAGGACCTCTTGTAGGAATGTTTGATATGCATTCTTTTTAGACAGACATATTTGTCTTAGAACTAAATTAAATAACATTGAAAACCATTTGGAGCCTCTTAATATTAATTAATAAAGTAAAAAAAGTATATCTGACTTATATTTACACAACACTCGAGACTAGGTTTGGGACCTAAATAAAGGAATTTGAAAATAAGGGTTTCAGTTTAAATGTAAGTTTAAATTCAATTGTGGCTCAAGATAATTTTGTTCACACTCATTACATTTTACAACTTACCTGAAAAATGTTGTGTGACACATAACAGTTATTATAAGGAGGTGAATCGGAGTAACCTCTTTAATATTGTTGAGGACAGACGTGGGAACACTGACATCTGATACCAGTTCGATACATCAGAAGGCTAAAATAACCCTGATCTCTCACCACGATTACAGCTTCGGTTGAGTGTGTGTGTGTGTGTGTGTGTGTGTGTGTGTGTGTACCCCGTGTCCAGAGCAGATGATCTTGTCTGTGGTCCCGGGGCAGGTGCTGAAGTTGAACTGTTGGATGGGGAGACATTTGTGATTGAAACAGATGCGGTCTGTCCCGCAGGCCGTCCCATCCTCAACGTATCCCAGATCAGTGTCTCCATCGATCAGCACATGAGCACCGCTGATGAACAAACATGAGTCACTCACACAGCACTGAGAGTGTGTTGAATTCACATAAATGTGTTGGTATAAAATACATGAGGCCACTGTCTGTTAATACAGTACAGCGTATATGTGAACAAAACTAGCCCTCAGGTGAAATATACATCACCAACAGGCTGTTGGTTTGGGCTTTGAGGATTTCAAGAAGCATTTTTTCCTCCATGATGTGTACCTGCAGTCAAGAGAAGCACTGTGTCGGGCCACTGAGAATGAGGTCAGCCCTCCCTGCAGCTCTCCCAGTCGCGGGGAAGGTGAGATGTTGGAGCACAGCAGGTACCCACAATGAACATCCCTGAAATACAAAGATGCAACCAACGATCAGGGGGAGCTAAATAAGATGTTGGCAGGACCGCACAGGGTTTCGGTTCACAAAAAGGACTGGCTCACTGTTTGTTACACTGGATCCAGGTGTCCTTGTCCTTCCCACAGTTTCCTTTCTCTGTCCCTTCGATGTTTAACTTCTCGTAACAGAACTTGTCGGCCGCTGTTGCCTCTGAGGGAGACACAATAAAACACAATAAACATTAAGACCTCCAGGTTGGAGAGTTTATCTCTACCACAGATATTTAATCCTTTTAATCCTCAATGTGTTTTTATAGATATTACAGATTTGTCATTACGAAATTGATTGGCAAATATGAATATTACACTTACTCTCTCCCCAAATGTATTTGCACTGTCTGTCTTTGGTTTTGCACCTTCCATTAAAACAGCGACCCTGTGGAGAGAAATAGAGTGTCAAAAAATGTCACCTGTCCAGAGGCAAAGTATTTTCTTTCTTAGAAGAAAGTAATAATCACCTGGTCTTTTTCACAAGTGTAGCCATCCATCTTGTGGACATTTGGTGGACACTGTAAAAAAAAAAAGAACACCTCAGAGAAACTGTCAGAGTTGCTGGAAAACCTGGAAAATTGGAGACTAGTTTCCAGTCATGGAAACACCTGCAATTGATTAAAATGACCAAATAACCTGGAAATAATCTACATTGTCCTGGAAAATTTTAGCCTGTGCTGTGGCCAAATGAATGTTACGGTTAGAGGAAAAATGAAGTCAATTCAGAAAGTGGAAAAAATGACTATCTATGGCTGACTACTGTTTGTGAGCAAACAGTGAACTCCTGGAAAATTATTTCTTAAAAAGAGTGGTAACCCTGTACTGTGTATATAATATTATATAAAGTTGAAGTTTTCTCCAGTGGGGGAAGCTCAGTCTCACCTGGCTGGAGTTTCCTGTGCAGTTTTCCGGGATGTCACAGTCATTCACAGCATCTCTGCACACAACTCCCATGAACTCCATCTGTAGCAGAATAAAATAGAGATCAAACAGACTCCTTCTATGACACATCTGTGCACCCATCCACAACTCAACATTACTTTTTTCGTTCATTTTGAGAGTGTTAAAAGGCTGTTAAGGATTGTTAAGAGCTCATTTTTGTTTTGGTATGCTCGGTGTAGCTAGAGTAGCTAAAACTAGTGTAAAATCAAAGTCAATCCAAGTGGAACTGGTCACTTGAGGACCAAAAAATGTGGACTTCTCCTTCAGCCTGGTGCCATGAGAAGCGTGTACCTATGTTTTACCCGAGACAACACTCCAGCAGAGGATGAAAGGTACCTGGCAGCTGTTGCAGCAGAGACCGTTGCTACACTTGGAGCCTTGGGTGAGGGTGCACTTGTCACAGCAGGCCTCCCCCTCCTTGGCACACTCCTAAACAAAAAACAGAAACAGAAACCGTTGTCTTTTGATTTGATGCAAGTTGTTTCTGTCTGTTATGTAACTCATCAGAGAGTATAATCTATTTAAACAGAGGTCTCTCTGGACAAACTCTATGATCATGCAATAACTGGTAACACTGTGTTGATTTCATGACTTTAAAATTACCTCTTATTAGACAACGTCTGACACAGCAGGCAGTTTTGTTGTAGGGTAATTAGCTCATCAATTTGACCCTGGATGATTATCAAGTTACCCCTTTGGGATAGTGCATCTCCATGTTAGCATCCATCCAGTCTCATCTACAGTGCTGAAACTTACCGCTGGGCTGCCACAGTCACACTCCTCCCCTGGCTCCACGAAGCCATTTCCACACACCGGAGGGTCCAACAGCTGAGGGGGGGAAGGGGCAGAATTAACATTAAAACTACTAAGGAGACACATGTATATATACAGTGTGTACATGTGTATAGTGTGACTAACCTTCAGAGGTTTGTTGAACAGACAGGCCCCTCCACCGCTGTTTAGAAAGTTATGGTACTCCTCCACGTTGCAGTCGGAGAACCTCTTGGGCAGGTAGAAACTGTTCAACACAACCGCAGCATATTATCCCGTTACCGTGGATACAATACACACAGAACATGCTCAGATAATACTGGAAGAGAGCAGGGCTTGCTCCCAAAAAAACACATTACAGGACAAAACACTTAAGAACTGATGTGGAAAAAGAAATATGTTTTAAAAATGTACTTTTCATACCTCACACATTTGATTTCTGTGCTACAGACAAAGCCATAGCAGGTTTGTGTTTCTTACATATCATGAATATTTCTGGTTTTACCACAGGTTTACCATACTCACAGTTCAGAGGAGATCCTTACTATAACATGAAGGTAGGTAAACAGTAGAGCCAATATTGCGAGGATCACAGGGGGATTTGTGTAGGATGTAAATGAATTCTACAGTAAGATGCATTTATGAATTTGTCCTGGAAATGAACTTGAATACTGTGGATGATTCACTTTTGAACAGTTATTGCATTATCATGTAGATACTGTGTCACTACGGTCACATGTATATTAACAAAAATTTCACAAGATGTTCAAAGAATAGAAATCAAGCTGCCCGGACGACACGATCAATTCTTAAATGCCATGCCATGTCGCTTCAATTAATTTAAAGTAAAAATATAAAACACAGCTTGATGATACATTCAGCTTGAGCCCAATCAACATCTGAAGTATTTGAGCAAATCTATTAAAATCAAAGGTCCTGTGTTCATTTTGATGCTTTTAACGACATCGAAACCAAAACCTGAGCAGCATTTTAAATGTTACTATGTTCAGGCTTAATGCTGATTATGCTGCTTGCATATGTTTAATTAGAGTGCCTCTGGTAGTGTGGCTCATCAGGGCTGGCACAGGAGACAATGCAATAACAGACAGATGCAGTGAGAGCCAGGGGCTGTGAGAGGTCGTCATTATTTGATATGAAATGTGACTAAATGAAGCCACCTACAGGGATAATGGTTGTATAAGGAGCCAGTAATGACGCTTGGATGATGGATGAAGTACACTACAATATTTCAGGTAGATTTTCTAAACTAATCAGGTTTGAAGTCCCGACCATCACGGAGGACCTTCAATCTTTGATTGCTAAATTTCTGCCAGTGCTTAATCTTGTCAAAATCTTGTAGTGTGTATCGCCCTTTTAAACAGTAATAAGGGGGGTGAAACAGAGATGAAGCGTGCTTGAATGATTCACTGGTCACCAGAAGAGGTACAATCGTTACCATGTGGATTAATATTATCATTGTTCAGCTGCAAAATATGTATTCCTAAAGATTAAAACACAAATACTATTCATTCTATTATACTATGTTATATTATAATACTATTCTTTTGTATATTCATTTGATAAAGTATGTGAAACACCTCATGTATCCATAAAAAGCTTTACTAATATCTTCAATTATTTCTTTCTTTCTTCCCTCATTCATTCATTCATTTATTCACTCATTCATAGTCAGACTATCATCACCTAGTGGTGATTAGGAGGCAAAGCAGCGTCTGAAACGTTCACTTGTCTCTGCATTACTGCTGTCTTTGTCTTGCCTGTATGCCCTTGTTATAGTATATTTTAGACTTTTTAAATGTATTATATCAGAAAAATTGTTTTATGAAATATTATAATTCAGGGTTTGTTCTTGTTTCTTTGTGGCAAAAATCCATTAGAGAAGAAGAAAGAAGGAAATAAAAATATAATAAACTGTAAAACACATATAAAAAAAACCACTTCTATATCTGAACTCGACCAAAACGCAAGTTCAATCTTTTTTTTTTCTAAGGACTGTTATGGCGATAGTAAGCACTGCCACACACACTGCATATGAATAAACACATGAACAGACAAATATACACACACACACACACACACACACAACACACACACACACACACACACACACACACACACACACACACACACACACACACACACACACACAGAGTAGCTAAACCTTGTGAACAATGTGAAATTGTTAGTAGTAGTAGTTAGGTTGATCAAACATGCAGGTGTTGAGGGATAAAAAGAAACGTCCATCAGTGGACATGACTGAGGTTGGCTCATTGAATACAAGCGTCTGAAATACCATTGACTTTATTTTAGAGAATACAGATCTGGGCCAGGTCCATTCATGGGTGACAAGCTCATAACAGCACAAAGTCACCTGTCCTCTGTCATCTGACCACATGACATTAAAGCAGGTTTATTACTGAAACCCAATAGAGCAGAATCTGGACAGGGAGTGTTAGACAGGGAGTGCACTGTTATTACAGGGAAATGAGGTTGACAAATATTGGCCTAAGGTGAGAATGACATTGCAGACTGTATCAATCGGTTAGACATGAACAAAAAGAACTGATGAAAAGGCCTGACAAAAGGCAGGAGGGAGAAGGAGCCTATCAATAATTAGACTAGTCAAATTAATTACATTTTGTTGGTTGATCAGTCGGTGACATCGGCCAAAAACTAAAGAATACACATAAAATTGTACAAAGTGATTATGAAAAATACAGCCAGTGTATAATAAAGCCACACCAAACCATATTTGTTCATATCATTTGAATAACAAAGTGAAGCTGGGGCCACAGCAGCTGTAGTGCTGTTGGATGAAATGGGAAAGGTTGTGATGACTGACAACCCCTCCGAGGCAGCCAGTTGGTTCAACACAGCACAGGCAACGTTCTAGCCAAGCTTCTGCTCACCTGCTGTCCCATTCGGGATAGAGGGGGAACGCGAGAAGTATTTAAGAAGAGGGGTATATTCACACACATACACACATCGCAGACACAACACACAGTCACATCCGTGTGCTCACAGCAGCACAATGCCAAGCTTGTAAAGTATAAACACTGTAGATGTACACAAACAGATTTTAAGACAAACACTGTCATGATTTCTGCATGAAACTGAAAACACAAAAACACACACAGACTGATTTATCACCTAGTTTCTAATCTTAGCAAGCAGCAGATTATATAACACATTACTGCTGAAAGAATCCCAATCAAGTTATATAAACGAGCAGTATGGAAGATAAACATAGACTGACACCTAGTGGTGAATTATCAAACTACAATAACACTGCAGTGGATGGAAATATTGTCAGCAGCATGTTTACACTGATAAATAAATTAAAATATATATATTTTTTAAAGTTTTATTTTGGCCTTTAATTGCCTTTATTTGATGGTTGCAGCTGGGGATGGACGGGGGGGAGATGACACGCAGCAAGGGGCCGCAGGTCGGAATTGAACCCTGGGCCGCTGCAGCAAGGACTCAGCCTTGGTACGTGGGGCACCAGCTCTACCCACTGAGCTAACCGGGCACCCCTAGATTAATATTTTGATGACATTTTAGACACCTATATAATTTGTCTATAAAAGGTTACACTTATTGCTAATGTGTGATGCACTACTGTGTGTAACTCTGTATTCTGTGTCCTGTTTGCATATGTTGTATTTGTGACCTGCCAAGGGACGAAAGATGAAAATGAGCTTTAAGCTAACTCTGGTACAATACATTAAATGGTAACATTTATGTGTAATATTGTAAATAAAATAAACCTGCATGTACTTTTAAGTTATTTATAAAATGTAATTAACTCTTAACTGCTTTGAGATACATAAGAAAAATACATTCTAGTTCAAAGTATAAACACAAATAGTAAATGTGAGTTTTAAGATTACAGGTTGAGAATGTAAACTTTTAACTACTTATATGTCCAATTTCATTAAACTCTTTGGTAACAATACCCATAGGTTAAAAAGAGAGTGTGATGTTAGCATTAAAGTACAGCATTGTATCCGGCACTGTGACTTTAAGGTTATGATTTGATGAGGAAACTGTAAAAGTAACTTACCCAACATCATCCATGATGCAACCCGACCAACGATCATCACACTTGCACTCGCCTGGAGAAGAAGAAAAAAACCCATTGCATAGAAAGGAGGCTTAATTAATGACTGTGTGCTAGAAAAGTACAAAACAAAGAACTCATTAAGGTTTAACTGTGTACCATTGAGGATCCGCTTCTTGTCAGAGAAGATGCCAATGTTCTGTCCAAGAGACTGAGCGAGGGTTATGGCCATTTCATCGGTTTTCCCATACTGACGAAGAGACAGACAGACAAACAGACAGACAGATAGTTAGTATAGATAGATAGTTGTACGATAGTTTTGGGAAATCACTAATCATTGATTTGTGATTCAAGACTCACCTCATTGACTCCCCCTCCTTTAGTCAGGGAGCAAACTCCTCCCATATAGGAAGCTCCTCCCCAGCTGCTGTGAAAACGATTCCCTCTGATAGGAAAAGAAAGTTATGTGTTTAATTTAAAAAAAGACGCTGGAGCACAGAACACACGAGAAAATCTTTTTAAATGTTCAGACTTACGAGAAGAGGTGAACAGAGTCACATTTCTCCTTGATGAAGTCTTTCCGATACTTCATGAACTCCCTCAGCGTCACCATGGGGTCGTCGTCGATGTTGAACTTGTTGTCAGCTGACCACGTTTCCATGGCAACTAGCACAATGCGGGTATTAAGCTGTTCCTTGAAGATCTGGAGAATTAAATGATATCTAACCTCAGTAATGTTATCTGTTGAAAGTCATAAAGCTTGTGTAACTGAAAGTGGCAAAGAAAACAAATGACACATCCTGATCAATATTTAAACTGGCAAGCTTCATATTCATCAACATCTCCAGCTGTTGGTTGTGAGAGCACCAGTCAAACAGGCAGTGTGATCAATATGATCCTGCCACCAGACAGCAGCACATTACAGGTGGCTAGATGGAGTCAACAAGGGCAACAGTCTGGAGGACGTAGAGGAAGCAAACTGTATGGCAAACATTATTGTTTGCTTTCATAAGATAGAAATCTATTGGGGTACCGAGCCAGACAAATACAAGTGAAGAGGACAAGAGCAAAGCTTCTTTGTTCAAGCTGAATGTCAATAGTCCCGAGACAAAGCTGACAGAGCAGAGAGGAAGTGGTCAGTGGTATGTAGATGGTTCAGTCCCAGTCCGGCCTCTACAGCCTCACCCTATCTGCTCCACCTCGGTCCGGCACACTAAGAGTGGTCCTAACCTGGTCGGTGCCTCGCTGCATTCAGGGATCTAAAGGGTGGCATGGAGGTTGCAGCAGCCACTCCTAAAAAGTGCCTGCCTGCTCTTTGGTTTGGGGAAGGGACCATAATTGTGACTACAAACAAGGACATGTTTTACTGGCCATAATCTACAAAATGTTACTCTTATTAACTTTGTCTGTATATTTATAGGCCCTATAGCTTATTAGCAGTTGCTGTGATATTTAACATATCTGACCGTGGCAGCATGGCATACACTGGGGAAAAAAGTAACTATACTCGCACATGGAAATCAATGTGTACTTCCCAAACATAGTCTGCTTCATATGATCCCCTTCAAGGGCACAACAGAAAGCATGACCTTTCTCCATCTTCACCATCCTATCAGCTTACAGACATGACCCTGCAGCAGGTCTGATTTCAGTAGCAAAGCACACAGATGTGGCTACAAATACCGAAACATTCAAAGATCTGCCTCAGTGCTGTTAGGATGCCACTGCTGTTTGAGTCCTCTGAAACCTGAAAACTCATGACCGGCTGGTTAATGGCTGCTCACTGCATATTATGGGCCAGGAGAGGTTTTAAATGTAGAGACTGAGGTTGGTTAAATGAGAAATCAGTACAATGTGCGCTCAGCTCCAATACCTGGGAGTGCTTGTGGCAAGCTTTCCAAGAAGAGGATCAATACAATTCTTACCATGTCAGCCATATTGACCACTGACTTAGCATAGTTATTCGTGTGCCCAACGGAAAGCCGATGCTTCTTGTACTGAAGAGAGAGACAGAGAGAGATACAGAGAGGGATGGAGAGGAGACAAATAAAAGTGGGATTTTACAATCTGGAACAAATTCATTTTAAACCATTTAAATATATAAAAGGAGCCGGTGCCACAATTTGTGTCCCAGTAGATTTTCAGTCAGGCCTATTTGGATAAAAATTGTCTGTTTTACGCACAATAAAAGGGAGTATTTGGTGTGCCTCAAGAGTGCAAGCACTTACAGTACTTCATTTATAGTGCTGACTCTCTCTGCATCCTGTACTAAGCTCCAAGCAATTTAAAGGATAAAGCTGGTGATATTATATATTGTTTTTACTGTCAACAAATCCCATGACAAGACCTAAAACAAACATAAGTTGATCTTCATCCGTTATCACCTGTGTTTGATATTGGTAACTCCTCTGTGTCACAGGAAAAACTTTATATTTGTACCTGTTTTTAAACATTTACATCTTCAGTAGCGCCACACAGGTTAAAGACATTTGGAAAGTATTGATATTTTGGTCTTTTCAGAGGATCTGAAAAATACTAAATAACACCAGCCTTTTACTTTAAATGTAGATATGTGTAATATAATTTATGGATCTGTGAGTGTCCTGAGCCAAATGGCGCACAGCCCATACCGGCTAACAAGACACCAGACAGCAACAACAAACAGGATGGCCACACGACGATTCATAATTGCAGAAATGTGCTAAAGTGCATTTTCTATAAATATATCCTAAACAGACAATCAGGATTCTTTAACATAATGTATTCCTAAAGTCACTGTACACAGAGGCAATGACGCACAAACTGTATATATATATATATATATATATATAAAATCATGAAATAAGGTGAATGTTAACAAGATGGAATCATTTTTGGGCAAACAATCTCTGTCAGGACGGATCATTTAACAGTTTTAAATTTTTGTGCAGGCACAGGTAAACACAATTTTGGCTTCAGAGTAATAAATATATAAGAGGGTTACTATTTTATCATGTTACACTATAGTCTAACATGTACATCAATACCATATGTACCCAGTTAAAAGCTTACCATTAAATGGTCATTGATCACCATCAACTCAATGTACTTCGTCTCATCTTCTACACTGTGTGACACATGTGGAGCCTGAGAAGAAACAACATAGTTTTATCATTAAAGGGACAGACAGACACCCTTTTCTCTGTTTTCCTCAATATCAAGGACAATTTCAGAACAGCACACACAGCAAACACAAAGATCAACTCGTGTCTCATACGGCACCAAGAAAGGATAAGAAAAGAAATGACAAATCAATAAGGATGAACTTTGCAAAGCTAAACAAGGTTTGTCTGTTTTCCAAATAAAGATGAGAGCAGCTCTGAAGGCTGAGAGACATCAGCTGCAGATGAGGCTGGAAACAGCATCTACATTCAAGGTAAATATTTCATAGCTGTTGTGTGGGAGGAAAGTGAGGAAACAGTGCTCTCTCTCTTCAGCTCAGTGAATTAACATAGAACATACAGGCAGGAAACAGTGTAATCAGGTTTGGACAAACGGCATCCAGAGTATAATCATATCTCTGTCTTGCACAAACAAACATACACATCATACAATGAAGTCAACTTCAGCATCCATTGGCTAATAATGATGATTTCCCCACAAATATGCCTGCAGAGGAGTCATACCTGTCTCTTTTTTCTCCTGTGAACATTTTTTGACCCGGGGAAGGGAGGGCTGGGAAAAGGTGGCTCTGGAACATCACCTAGGAAACAGAAACAGTGATTGCTGTCAATGTTCATGTACGGTAGCTGTCCAGAACAGTCAAACATGCATGAAATACATACATATACATGAAAATGTATTTCACTACGTGTTACAAAATATTCTTAGATATTTAACAATACATTAAGTTCCTCCTCATGTCTTCAGTCATCATCTTACCGTTGAGGAAATCACTAAGTCCCTCTTGCCCTGCAGATTTGTAGATCATGTGAATGCGGACATCTCCCTGAAAGACACCAAAAGAAGAATTCAGTCACAGATCACAGGCAAGAGTCAAGTTCACGTGAGGTAAAGTGGCTGAAAATTATACTATATGTCCTTTTTTGATCTGTATTGAGGCCGTTTATGTTGATTGGGCAGACTGTCAAAGCCCTTTCAAATCTACATTTACATCTGTCAAACTGCTCAAACTCAAAGCAAAGGAGATGAAAAAGGAGCACCTGAGAGAACTGTTTCACAGATAATTGGACAGAAACACATAATATCAAACAGATGCTATGAAAACAAACAACAAAGATGGTTTGGACAGAATATTGTTTTACTTGTGCTTACCTGATTCAATAGTACAGTCAAAGACAGACTAAGTTACATGTTCTGCAAATGCAAACTATTTTAATATTTTTAAATCTATTTCTGGATACAATTTTCTTTTTAAGTTCATTATTTTAACTACTTTATAATTTGCTCAGTATCTGAGTTATCATCCCTGTGACTTGAATGCTCTGTAACGCATGCGTCAACCACCTGTGAGACAACGCAGAGGGCGGAAGCAGCCCTCCTCTTCCTGTTTACGCTCCTGTTACTGTACTTCAGTGGTAACGCTGTGGTTCGGTTCGGTTTCGGCCCAAGAGTGTAAAGGAGGACCAGGCTGAAATGCCACCGCCTTCGATCTAAACACGACTGAACTGCTGTAAAATCATAAGGTACTGTAGTGTATGTTTAATGTAATTGTAGTGTTTAAGCTTCATATTGAGGAATTCGGGACGCAACAGGTCGCGTTGTAATGCTAACCTTTAGCATCAGCTAACGTTAGCTTTGACTAATGTAACCGATTAACGTTGGCGTTAAATGTTAAACCGCAGGTCATTTTTCACATTTTAGTGAACGAAATTTTTGATATATGTAACTATTAATTAGGTTACATGTGTTTTACAGTCAGGCCAACGGGGTAAAAAAAAAGTTCTAGCTAGCTCCTAGCTGACAAAGCTAACGGTAGCTTCATAAATACCTGTTATTACTCGGTTAATGTTATGTGGTGTACAGTTAATCACAAAGTTGTATTTAAATATAGTATCTGGTGATCTTAGTGTATTGTCAGGCAGCGGTACAGTCATCGTTGACCTCTGCTGATGTGTTTAATCGCCATGAAGACTACATTTTAATAAAGGAAACAAGGTTGAGGTCTATGTAAAAGGTCTTTACCTGTGTAAATCAACATGAAAACATTCTGGGACTACAATTAAATAATATGATAACACACAAAAAAAACTTCTTAACAATAAAATAAATGTGAGTTTGGAGTTAAATAAACAAATCAGTTATACATATAAACTAGCTCTACAGACCTGCTCACCTTTAGTTTTGATCTACAGTATATTTTAAAACTGAAGAACTGATGCTTCACTTTAGTTTGTAAGGGAAGACGCGAGATAGTTTCTGTTTGTTTCTGAATACAACAAAATGCAGATGCATTTTTAAAAAAAAATATTTATATATATATATATATATATATTCATGATGATATGAAAGCGTATGAGTTTCTCAAGATAAAGTTTCCACACAGCCATGGTCAGTCACTGCAGCACGCTGTCACATTACCCCAAGCATCTAATTCAATTGCTTATTGTTCAGCTGTACAGTCTATGTAATGCACTGCAGTTAAGACACCCTGCAAGCTCAGCCCCCCCGAGTCATTCCCACTTTGTTTGCTAATGAAATGAGAGCATTGTTTCTCGGGGACAGCAGATATTGGGTCAACTACGCTGTGGTGAATAGAAGTACAGGGGGGTTGCCCATAGCTAGGTCAGTCTGTGGCACAGTTAGCTTACTTCAGTAGTAATGGGGCCATTTGGAGAAACTTGTATAACCATGCCTTTTTCCTATCATCAGGAGTGTGAACTGAAAAATTATTTATGATAGCCCCATCGCTTTCCACTGCACTGACCAGCCACTATCTGATTTCCTCTCTTCATCTGTTACAACAGGAACTCTCCCCGTGGCCTCAGTTCCTGTCTGCACCCACCATGTCGTGCCGGGACATCCATGCCACCAACGCTTTTGCCTTCATCATTGCCATTGTGTCTGTGGGAGGGATTGCGGTGGCAGCATTAATCCCACAGTGGCGTGTAACGAGACTCGTCACCTTCAATCGTAATGCCAAGAATATCAGCGTGTATGATGGGCTGTGGGCTAAATGTGTAAAACAGGATGGCTATTCAGGATGTTACTACTATGATTCAGAGGTATTTCTTTGATAAATTTCCTCTCCTCTGTTTTTGCTTTTTTCTTTTATATCCCAAACTGTCCTAACAGAAATGATGTCCTCTCATATTTCCAGTGGTACTCTAAAGTTGACCAGCTGGATCTGCGGCTCCTGCAGTTCTGTCTGCCTACAGGCCTTCTGCTCGGCTCTCTGGCCTTGCTGCTGTGCATGTCAGGCATGTGCAAGACCTGCTGCTGCTCAGACAAGCCAGAACCGGACATTAAGACCATCAGATTCCTGGTCAACAGTGCAGGCTGTCACCTGGTGGCTGGGATGTTCCTGTTCCTCGGCGGCGCTATCGCCATCGCACCCTCAGTGTGGTTCCTGTTCCGCACTAAGGAAATGAACATGAGATATGACAACATTTTCTCTGATGGCTTTGCTGTGTATGTATCTATTGGCTGCTCTGGAGGACTAATGCTGGCTTCCCTGCTGATGTTCATGTGGTACTGTATGTGTAAAAAGTTGCCTTCGCCCTTCTGGTTGCCCATGCCCTCCATGCCTACTTCTTTGTCCACACAGCCTCTAACTGCCAACGGATATCCTCCTTCCCCAGTTTATGGTCCTCAGCCCTTCCTACAGCAGACCTATCCTCCCACAGTGATCGAAGCCCAGCCGTATATGCCTGCCCAGGGCTACGCGCAAAGCGTGGTCGCCCCTGCACCGCCCCAGGTCTACATGTCTCAGATTTCTGCTCCAGAGGGGTATGGTTCAGAGGTGGGAGGAACTCAGGCCTACAGCTATGCTCCCTCACAGAGCTACGCACCCTCGCAGAGCTACGCACCCTCTCAGGGCTACACGTCCAGCTACGCAGGCCACCGCTACTCCTCTCGCTCACGGATGTCTGCCATAGAGATCGACATTCCCGTGCTGACTCAGGGACAGTAAGTGAAGAGGAGCCGACATCGTCAGAACACTGAAGGCTTCTGGTCCATGAACCTCCATGAAGTTCACTACTGATAAAAACTAATATAGTATGAAAGATGGAAGTTAATACAATGAGAGCTATTTACAGTCCTTAGAGTGATAGTCTTAAGAATTCAGCCAGTCAGTCCAGGTCTGTAGATTGCTGATTATAGAAGATGAGAACGTGGAGGTACTATATGAAGGATGGAATTTTCTTTAAAACGAAGATCACTAAAGCATTTGTGCAAACAGCACTGTATTCTGCCAAGTATTTTTAAAAAGGGAAGAAAATAGGTATTGAGTAAGGTATATAGGTATATAGTGAAAGACACCTCAACAAAAAATAGCTTTTTTCCCACTATTTTACTGGCAAAGTAGAAGCCACTAAACAATAGCTCCTAACTTGTTCAAGTGGCCAATGGACCAACCTATGAGCTACAAGCAAATAGTTACTAGCATTTGGTTTAATGTCATTTTTCACTCTTTTACTTTAGATTAAAGAAGCCCTTGTGCTGTCTGCAAAGCTAGTGGCAGCTGGTCAGCTAAATTATATTTTTCTGTTACATTTGTTAGACATATTACAGTGATACTCAAATCACTTGTGAACTTTGTTTGTGTTAAGCTTAAACTATGGAGGTCTTCTGTTATCACTACTGAACATAACACTGATTCAACTCTAAATGCTGTGCTTCCGAATGGACAAATACTAACTGAATCACCTGTTTGTGTCTGTTGTCTAACATGAATTGTTATTATATTGTTGTAATGTCACAGTGCCCTGTGAAGAGCAGCTGTTAATATTTTAATGCACTAATTATGTGAAAACTGTGCCAGTTTACATTGCCTTTGTTCACTGACTTTGTTAGCTTGAGTATAACATATTAATCATTTATTATAAAATTGTTTATGTCAAAAAAGGAGGCGCTAAAGAATTTGTTAATGTTGAAAACACTAAGAAACAACAGAGAAGAGAGTGCTGTTCATCTGCATTCAACATGTCAGCTGATTGATCAGATGATTAAAAATTCTGCCAACTTAGCTAGAAGTAAAATAATACTGTAATGTTTTCAGTGTCTTACAGTTTAATTCTTGCCTTTTGTATGTTTTGCAGAATGAGCACTGATCAACATTTCTTCAAATTCTAACGTGTTCATGTAATTCTACAATGTTGAGGTTATGTTGTCAAATGTTTTTCTACGCTGTCGCTTTTTTTTTTTTATTAAAACACAAATCACAAAGTATCTGTGTGTGCTGGGATAACAACGGCAAAGCCAATTTTAAAGTATGTAAAATGTGTAATTGCAACAAAAATAGACACACAATCAATCTCATTTATACTGGGAAAGAAAATTGTGAGTGATTTGTCCGTCCTCACCCACCAGGCACCAAACACTAAGAGATGAAAAAACGTTTCAAGCAGACTGAAATACAAACTGGGAAAGAGAAACAGCTCATATTTACTCCGGTGATGGAAACTGTTTGAGAAAATCAATGGCTTATGAGGTTCTGGTTTCCCAGAAATATGTCATCATTAAATGTTATAGTTTCTTGATTGAAGGATATTAAAGTTGCTTATTGCCAGACTCCACCAGTGATGCCAAAGCTACATTTACAGCGCTTGGCTGGTATCCTTTTGGTTTGTTTTACATTTGCATCAAACTGCCTTTAGGTCACTTGAAGTACAAGTAAATACAAGATTCATAAAGACTGTGTTAAGTTTTACAGGTGTTAATGCTCTCCTGTATATGCAGCCTACAACATAACTGCATGTCTTCGTTCTTACATTATAATAAATCATATTCTTGTGTTGATACATTTGTTCAGCTGTTAGCCTTGAC